CACCTGGAATTCCCAGACTCAGTCCTCAGAGATTTCTCAACAGATGGAGGGAAAAAATAGCCTTTCCTTGCCTTCCTTCCTCACATAACCATCCCAGATGATCATTGATTCTTACCAGGGAAGCTTGGGAAACCCTAGATAACAGCAAAGAAATGTGGAAGCTCACAGTCTAGAAAACAAGAGTTACTTCAACTTAGAATGTAAGTTATCTTGTGTTCATAGTGCTCAGTGGGGACAAAAAGTAGGCTGCAACATGTGAGTCAGCTGTTTTTTTTAAATGTGTATACCATGACACAGAAGGCCAGGAGGTACAGCAAGATGGTAGAACTAGGTTTGGTGGGGCTCCAGGTTTTCTTTCCTTTGGGATCTTTATTCCATGGAGAATAAACCCAAACCTGTGAGGGTGAGGATGGTACTGATCATCTCCTGCACTGGCTTGGTGATGATGAGCTCTTGCAACTATTCAGCTTTGCTTGACACAAATTCCTATGGATGTAGTAGACGTTATTGAATTAATCTGAGTCTACGGCCATACCACCCTGAACGCGCTCGATCTCGTCTGAATTAATCTGAAATCCTAATGTTGTCTTTACCAAGGAATCCTCTGATCTTAGTTTCACACCTGAGAGAATGTCACAAGTAAATGGCTATTGTAACATTTTACTGTTTAAATTAGTGAATCAGTGCTCTGGCTTACCAATGCCCTTCTGAGGATGGCTGGTTTGAACTAATTCCTCAGAGCATAACAACGCCCCTTATAAGCACTGGGGAGAAAAAAAAAGTCCAATTCCTAAACATGCAAAGCAGGCTCTCCCACAAACCCCATGAGGCCTAACCTCAAGTGGTAGCCAGATCTCTTAAGGAAGAGTCAAGTATTAGGAAGCAATATATTTGTTCTATTATGCAGAAACAGGGTTTCAATATAATACCTTGAAAAATATCTTAGTAAAATTACCAGCAAATTTCTTAGAAATCTGGTTCATCAACATTTTAAGTATGGTTTCACATGAAGCAGGAGGGACAACTGTTTACACCAAGGGTCTCTGCAAACTATGGCCTGTGGGCCAAATCTGGCTCACACTGAGTTGTATAGCCTCAAGCTAAGAATAGTTTTTACCTTTTTCAAGAATGATTTTTACATTTTTAAGAGGTCATTTAAAAAGAAAAAAACAGGCAAAGACTACAAAATATTTCTTGGATCCCTTCACAGATAAAGTCTGTCAACCCCTGGTCTACAGGAAGAAAGAACTCTGCTCGGTCCTACCCCTACCAACCAAAGCGGAATGTAAAAAGAAAATACTTAAAACTAACCAGATGTACAAGTCAAAGGCCAACCTTTCAAACAGAGAGAAGGCCCTCCTTGATTTTAGCAACTCTGAGTCTAAATCTGCATAAATAAGATTCCAGTTATTTTGATAACAATTCTAATGAAAGAAATTACAGGATTATAGCAAAAGCACATAGCTGAAGTTGAAAAGTCAAGCTGGGTGGCTGCTCTTCTTGAAGCTAATTGAAAAATGGACAATTCAATATAAACAACCATGTAACCTAAAATGCTAAAGCTAGGGGCACCTGGGTGGCTCAGTCGTTAAGCATCTGCCTTCGGCTCAGGTCATGGTCCCAGAGTCCTGGGATCGAGCCCCGCATCGGGCTCCCTGCTCCACGGGAAGCCTGCTTGTGTTCCCTCTCTTGCTATGTCTCTATCTGTCAAATAAATAAAATCTTTTAAAAAAAAATGCCAAAGCTAAAAGAAATTCTCATTTTACAGATGCAAGAAGGAATTCAGAGAATGTAAGGAGGTATGAAAACAAAAAAAAAACATAAAATGAAAAATAAGTATCAAGAATTACTTAATCTTTATGAATTCTATCTGAAGGCGGTAAAGCAATATTACCATCATAAACATATAATTGATCAAACCAGGACACTAAAAATAAGTAAAGGGCATATAAAATTGTATAACTTTGAAAATATTTATTGATTACATATTCACTGTATTATACTCGTAGGCCTATAAAATCATTTTACTCAAACTCTATTTTCAAAAATAACTTTCGAAATGCACCCCATGAAACCTGTTTGGATTACCTGTGTGCACACAAGCAATGCGTTGTTAAAATGAAATATACTTTTTACCATGGATACTAGCCAAAAGTTTTAACACTGCAATGACTTGGACGTACTCTCAAGCTGATGACTTTATAATAATTCTACTGCTACAGCCAAAAGGAAAATTCCTTAGACACAGTAGAGCAAGAGGTATCATAAAACACTATACAGTTCTTCCATGAGGGAATGCAAAATAAAACACAAAGTACAGAATTTCTACAAATTTAAGGCCTCCAGTGGACTCATACTCTAAGACACTGATCCTCACAGATTTCTGGGACAACCATAAAGTTATTGTATATTATCAACTTGTCACCAAGTGGCCTGCTGCTCTTGTCAAAGGACAGGACCATATGGAGAGCTCAGACAGCTCAGGCATCCATAGGGGCTGCTAATACATCAGTGTTGGTGAGAGCCCAAGCTCTTGGACCCATGAATGGTATCTGTCCCAGCTACCTCAACTCGTCTCACCTGAGGCCCATTTGAGCAGGCACTGGGGTGGTCTAAAGATGTCATAAATATGAATAATGCTACTTTTCAAATATATGTAGATATTGAGGTACTGAGGTTAATACAGTTCAAATCTAAAGACCATGAAGAATGGCTTCCAAGATGGAGAAAAGAGATGAGTACATACGCTGCCTCTTCAACAACTCACTTCAAGCCACCATGAGAGCAATGGAAGGAATATAGTAGTAGCTAACACGTTCCATTTATTCCTGAGGTTTCTTTTATTTTAAACCAAATTAATTCATCCTCTCCATTATAGATTGGTTCTTTTGACATCCAAGAAAATAAAAACAAAATTCAAAAGCATATAGACATAGTCTGAAGTAAATTTCTATAAATTAACATTTTTTACTTTATAGGACTTATATTTACTTATACTTTAAAAAACGTTCCTTAACTCAAAAATGATGAAGATGGCAAATTTTATGTTATGTGTTTCTTACCATAATAATTAAAAACAATTGTGTAAAAAAGGATATTGTAATATAAAGGGATGATAAGTATAACAGGATATATTTAAATTCTTTTCAAAAGTAGGTATTAATATATTTGGCTGTTTTGTTTCTTCTTTAAGTGTATTTTGTATGTAAAGTGTGTGTGTGTGTATACACACTTTACATATATATATATATACATATATATATATATATGTATATATATATAATGAGGGAAGAGTGTATACAGAGAACTCTAAGGAAGCCAGGGTTATATACCAAGAACAGGAAAAACTGATTAACCCTGATGGTCACATAATAATCAGGTAAAAAGAGTGTGTGATAACACGTTACAAGATGATGCATTAATCCAATGTCATCTAAAAAAAGTTTCTTAAAAATGTAATGCTATGTCCCATGACTGATGTCGCGCCAATATGGCAGGGCACCCACTGACACTAAATGATACTCCAAGATAAGCAGTCACAAGGAGTCTACACTGGTGATCCTCAGGCTCACTTAATTCCTATTAATACTGAAAAGTGTTTACTTTTATAAAAAGGGGGATTAATTGCAATGTGATCTCCCAAAATGGATCCTGGAATAAAGCATGTTAGTGTGAAAGTGGTGAAATCTGAATAAAGTGCATAGTTTAATGTACAGTGTTAATCTCTTACTTCTGACATGTACCGTGGCCTATAAATGTTAACAATTTCCTGTTAAGGAAAGTTGGGCAAATACTGTCTTTGCAACTTTTCTGTATTAATAAATACTTCATTAAAAGGGGGCGGGAGGGACTTAAATTTTAAGGATGTATCTATGCACACGGGAACACAAAACTCAGCTGTTGTGGTGTGTGATAACAGCAACAGAGAGGAGTATGCAAGCGTCATTTCAGAAACAACCCAGAGAGAAGGAAGTAGTGATGGGGAGCGGGCACCAGGGGGGCTCCCATGTGCTGGTCATGTCCTGTTTCTGCCCCTAGGTTGGTAGTTGCACCGGCATGTTCCTTTTACGATAATTCACTGGACTAGACTTTCCCCTGCATTACCCTTTAATAAAAAAAAGAAGTTAAGAAATACTTCCCTAGTTCCGATAAAGGTTAGAACGAAGAGAAAATCTGTGAAAAAGAGATGTCTATGTAGGAGCGAAGACGTCTGTATGGGGGCAGTTGTGACAGTTACAGTATCACAGATCTAAGTGTTCGGAGCCAGGAAGGATCTTGGTAGTTCCCGGGTCCTGGCGTGGCCCATTCTTTCTGAAGCAGCCCTGGAGATGCTGACGCAGCCGGGTGCACTGTGCATTGGAGCCAAGTGCCCCGGGAGGTTGTGACGCGCATCCAGACCACAGACCCCTGAATGCCCCAGCGCAGCTAGGCACCCTCCACACCTCGTCCAGAGGCCAGCCGACCCCCTGCGGTGTTCTGAGTCCACAACAGAGAAATCTCAGTAAGTTCTAATAACCTTAAAAGGCCCAGCAAAGCTTCTTCTCTCAGAATGGCTTTTTTTACCCTGTGAATCACACTGGGTTTTTCCAACACGGTTTAGATTTCGTACTTCCACTACTGCATCTGTATAGTTGTTGTTATTATTTACTAAATAACGGCAGATCGTAGATTCATATGATACTGGAGCTGGAGGGCAACAAACGCTCTACTCCTTTTAAAGATGAGGAAACTGGTATCAGAGATGTTCAGAACTTGTCACAAGTTCCTAGAATTCAATTCTTTTTTAGGTCAATAAATTAAACTAGATGCCTCCCCCATGGTTACTGTATGACTAGATGAACTAATAAGCAGTTCATAAGAGCACTAGTTTATGACTTGGGTTCTTTCGTGTGTAATTCAGTTCATCACGGTTTCTGTGAATGTCTTTGCTGAAAATAATTCTTGCTGAACAGTATGATGCCAAAAGAAAAGACAACAAAAACACTTCGGAATATTTAAAATAAATCAAGATCCTCCCTTTTTAATGTGTGGATCAATCATGTAAATTAAAGAGGAATTTAAGAATATTTTTTAAGTAATAACAATTTTAGGTAGGCAATTATAAGGAAGATAACAATCATACATGCCAAGGCTACGTGATTCTTCCACAGGCCCCAAGGGGAGAGATCGATGCCCTGGTTTAGCAAAAAGTCTTCGCCAGTACATCTGAAATTCAACAGAAAAAGAATATGACTTCATTCTTAGCATTTGTCAAATTTTACTCATTTAAATTCACTCCTCCCATAGGTTACCAAGGCTTAAATAACTATGCCTTCATGTGTAACAGATGAGTGCTTACGAATCCATTAGATACTATGCTAAGCAATCTGCATGTAACAGTTTAGTTAATCCCTAAAACAACCCAATGGGGGTTAGTACATACATTTAAAAGATGAAGAGGCTAAGGTTTAAGGAACTTGTCCAAGTCCACAGACTCACACTGTGAACCAAACTGCTAGTCTGCAAATTCATTTGTTTCCAGATCTATGATGCTGCTCTCTTTAAAGGGCAGAAACATTTATCAAGTAATTTTGCCCTCACTCCTGGTGGGGAAAACCTCAATTTTAACAGATGACATCAAAGTTCCTTACCGAGATGATCAAAGCTCTTTCTAGAACTCATCACCCACAAATCAGCCATACAAACGAACACAGGCTAAGAATTTTGAAACTGGGAAAAGAGGTGAGCAAGGCCTTCCTGGCACCGTCGCGTTCCCTCAGCTCTTGCACCAAGACCGGTCTGAGCACTGCAGAGGCTCTGCAACATGCCATCGCCAGCAGGTCCACTTAATCAGGTGAAAGCCTCAGCGGCAGCCGAAACACAACAAGGGTGGAGTAGCCCTGCCACCGTTTAGAAAAGCACCTGGCACTAAAAACACCTGGTACAGCCTTAATTATTACCTGTTATCCCATCTTTGTGCAACTCTTGAAATCTAGCAGTCCCCCCCAAAAAAGTGTTAAGCCCAGACAAAAGAGAGGGAGTGGGCAGGATCAAGAAAACTCTTTATAGAGGTTTTCTAGAAAAAAGAGTTTTCTAGAAATACTTCAAAACAGCACTCTCTCCTGTTACTAAGAATTATTTCATGAAGGTTCATGAGATTTGGATACCAGCATTCTCTTTTCTTTCATTAGTTAATGTATCAGAATCAAACCATTAACAACAATCATCAATAAGGAAAGTGTTATTCAATTTTTAAAACAATATCCTCTGATTTTATGAAAATCTGCATTTCTGTTTCATTGACATTATGCAATAAATGGGACTTCTTTCTCAGCTGACTGAAATGTGTTTCCTTCTTTAGAGGGTACATGCTTTAATAAGGATATTCCAAGTCATTTTAAAAGAAAAAAAATAGCCGTGTAGACTTCGATTTCATAATGTATCCCATTTAAGTGCAGGAGGAAGAGGTACGTGCCACAAGTGCGCCCGGGAAATAGTCACTCCGTTCTGCTCTAGCTGCCTTTCAATCTCTTGCTCCTGGCATTGGGTTGGGCTTACAGGAAGCCTCAAGTTCATGGATCTGTACACTTCCCATAATCCATACAATTCCAATATCCTAAGGCTTCGCTAAAATATCAAACTCAAATGTTCTGAAAATAAAAGCTAAAACCCACAATCAAAACAGCGTTTTAAAAGGCCCCAAATGAACAACATATCAAAAACATTTCCCCAACTTAAATATAACTTTGACCGAAGTAGAATGTCAAGGAGATGTGCGTTGGTGTACAACAACTCAGAGAAAGGACCCACACCAGCCACGTGGCCCAGTGGCCTTGCTACATGACACCACAAGAGTAAGCAAATCCATTCTGACACTGAGTACAAACTTACATCGCATAGCTACAGGTATTATTCGCTGTTACATTGACTCCTGGGCAGAAGTTTTGTCCCAAAAATTCATTATGCTGCAAAGCCTGTAACACAAGGGTAGATGGGACAAGGTAAATGATTTTAAATTTCAAAAAGTCTCCAAAGAATGATCATGTCCTCCTAGTTTAATCTTTACTGCTATTTCTAAAAACAAACCAAGCTTCACATTCACGGTCTCAGTCACACCAGAGAAACTAAAATTCTTTTCCCTGGCAATTGAGTGGCCTATGTTGGGATTCTGGCTCCTAAAACAATGGAAGTAAAGTATCTTCTAATTTTAATATATAAAATATGTACTCTAGGTTCCCATCCTCTATTTTCGTATGGAACTGAAATGCAACTACATGTTTTTATATCCATTAGTCAATCTTTCTCCTTCATGAGGAGTTCTCTCTCCACCCCTAACCTCCCTCGGCAGCAGGGTGACTGGGGAAACCTCAGGTGATGATCAAGGTGAAACTCTTCTTCATCACTCTGAAAATGAAACCCCTGGGAGACTTTCACAGTTTGTGGCTGGGGCCATGAGGTTGTTAGGCTTTATTCTGGTTGGTTCTAGCTTGGGAACAACGAAGCAGTCACAAGGACATGTGAGGAAAACTTACCTCAAAGCCATATCGAGGAATGCTGAAGTACTGAAGCCAGGAGAGCCAAGGCCCAACAGTTCTGAGATTTACCAACAGCCCTGAAAATATCTACGAAAAGCAAATGCCAAGAATCAGACCTGGTGAAGGGATTTCATGAAGAATTACAGAGAATAATCTCTGAGTCCCTGACAACCCTTACAAACATTTCTTCTAAGACCTCTCCACTCTGCATACGTATGCCTCTCTAGAGCTGAGGCTGTTTATGGTTCTAAAGGAATGACAATATATCTAATAATACCTATGTCATTTAATTGGAAGACCCTTCATTGTCAAGGATTTTACTTTTGGTAACTGCCCGCAATGAAAGGTCAATAAAGTACTGACTGTTCTAATGATACAACCATTATATGTTCACACCAGTAAACATACCAGAACAGATCCTGAACATCTCATGCCCCTCTCTATTTCCCTAACACGGTAAGATTTGTTATTTACAAGGGCTTGTGCTCTGCATGACTCCAGAAATAATCTGGGGTTCAGGATGCATGCTAAAATAACCCAAAGCCTGGAACTGATATACAGAATAACACGGGGAAGTACAACATAAAATATGGTGAATACCTTCATTTAAAGCTACCAAAGAGCAGGCTTACAGTGAAGATCCTGGGGTGGATTACTCCAGCAACAGATGGCTACGTGAGAAGAGGCTCATCTAAAACTTCTAACTGGCAGGAGGTATGCTGGGATAGACCTAACAATGACAATGTTGCTGGAGTGACTACATATTTTTGAACTTGACTTAACCAGGTGCTAAACAGAGGACACACAGCATCTCTGAGTAAAATATGGTTTTATGACTGGTTATAAAGGATCTATAATACAAACTTTTAAATAATAATAAGGTGAAGCATCTAATATATCACACAAATATATCTATTTTTATAAATCGATGACACATTATTTATTGGATAACATGATAGAAAATATATGCAAGGTTTATCACTTCCTTAATAATGTTTAGACTGGTAGATGTCAGACTCAGAAATGGAAGACTTAAACTTTGGCAAAAAGTTGTGCTAATTATGCTCCTTTTAAAGACATCTTAGCAGAAAGAACATGTGTATTAAGTAAACAGGCTAAACGTTCCTGTTCACTTGATGTAGTTAAGGAGCAAGGTGGTAACTAGCTGATTCACCTACTGATTCATCTATGTACAGGTAAAATTAAGGGACATGTAAGGTTAGGCTTCAGTAACCATTTAAAAAAAAAAGGTAAACAGAAATATATTGGTATAAGAGAAAGTCAGGAACCCAGAAAGGAGGAGACACAGTACTGTGTGGGCTTTGGAACTTTTTAAAATACCCCTTTTCAAAATATAGGAGGGACCCAGGATAGACTACCCACACTGCAAACTGTTCAATTTCTCATGGAGCTTAGCTATTCCCTTGGGGAGGAGAAGATCCAACCAAACCATTAAGTTACTACTTAAGTCAATGGTTCTCTAACACTAGCACAGAAGTTGGGTAATTAACCTGTCATTTTTATGAGGGAATCTTATAATCAAAATTTTTCTGGTTTTTGTGGGTGTTTTTTTAGAAGTTTTTGTTTAAATTGCAATTAGTTTACACTCTAAGATTAGTTTCAGGTGTACAATTTAGTGATTCAACACTTCCATACGATAGCTGGTGCTCATCACAAGTGCCCTCCTTCATCCCCATCACCTATTTAACCCAACCCCCTAACCACCTCTCCTCTGGCAACTATAAGTTTGCTCTCTGTAGTTAAGTCTGTTTCTTGGTTTGCCTCTCTCTTTTTTCCCCTATGATCATTTGTTTTGTTTCTTAAGTTCCACCTATGAGTGAAATCATATGGTATTTTTCCTTCTCTGACTGACTTATTTCGCTTAGCCTAATACTGTCTAGCTCCTTCCACATCGCTGCAAATAGCAAGATTTCATTCTTTTTGATGGCTGAGTAATATTCCATTCTGTATATATACATCTTTTTTATCCATTCTTCGGTCAATTGACATTTGAGTGCTTTCCATAATTTGGCTATTGTCGATAATGCTGCTATAAACATAGGGGTGCATGTATCCCTTCGAATCAGTATTTTCCCCCCTCTGGGTAAATACCTAGTAGTGCAATTACTGGATGGTTATGGTTCTTGGTGCAACTGTAAATGGGATTGATTCCTTGATTTCTCTTTCCGCTGCTTCATTACTGCTGTATAGAAATGCAACAGATTTCTATACATTGACTTTGTATCCTATGACTTTAATGAATTTGTGTGTCAATTCTAGCAGTTTTGGGGTGGAGTCTTTTGAGTTTACTATAGAGTATCATGTCATCTGCAAATAGTAAAAGTTTTACTTCTTCTTTACCGATTAGATGCCTTTTATTTCTTTTTGTTGTCTTGATTGCTGAGGCTAGGACTTCCAGTACAATGTTAAATAACAGTGGTGAGTGTGGACATCCTTGTCTTGTTCCTGACCACAGAGAAAAAGCTCTGTTTTTCCCCACTGAGGATGATACTGGCTGTGGGTTTATTGTATATGGCCTTTATGATATTGAGGTATGTTCCCTCTACCTCCACTTTGTTGAGGGTTTTTATCAAGAAGGGATGCTGTACTTTGTCAAATGCTTTTTCTGCATCAACTGAGAGGATCATATAAATCTTATCCTTGCCTTTATTAATGTGGTGAATCATGTTGACTGATTTGCAAATACTGAACCAAACTTGCAGCTCAGGAATAAATCCCACGTGATCATGATGAATGATTCTTTTAATGTACTGTTGGATTCGGTATGCGAATATTGAACTGAGCATTTTTGCAACCATGTTCATCAGGGATATTGGCCTGTAGTTCTCTTTTTTCAGTGGAGTCTTTGTCTGCTTTTGGAATCAGGGTGATGCTGGCCTTATAGAATAAGTTTGGAAGTTTTTCTTCCATTTCTATTTTTTGTAATAGTTTGAGGATAAGTGTTAACTCTTCTTTAAATGTTTGGTAGCATTCCCCTGTGAAGTCATCTGGCTCTGGACTTTTATTTGTTGGGAGATTTTTGATTACTGATTCAAATTCTTTACTGGTTATTATTCTGTTCAAGTTTTCTTTTTTTTCCTGTTTCAGTTCTGGTAGTTTATATGTTTCTAGGAATTTGTCCATTCTTCCAGACTGTCCAATTTGTTGGCATATAATTTTTCAAAATATTCTCTTATAATTGTTTGTATTTCTGTGGTGTTGCTTGTTATTTCTCCTCTCTCATTTGTGATTTTATTTATTTGGATCCTTTCTCTTTTCTTTTTGATAAGTCTGGCTATGGGTTTATCAATTTTACTAATTTTTTCAAAGAACCAGCTCCTGATTTCATTGATTTATTCTATTGGGATTTTTTTTAAGTTTCTATATCATTTATTTCTGCTCTAATCTTTAATATTTCCTTCCTTCTGCTTGCTTTAGGCTTCATTTGTTGTTCTTTTTCTAGCTCCTTTAGGTATAAGGTTAGGTTGTTTATTTGAGATTTTTCTTCCTTCTTGAGGAAGGCCTGTGTTGCTATATACTTCCCTCTTGGGACTGTTTTTGCTGCATCCCATAGGTTTTGGACCATTGTGTTTTCATTTTCGTTTGTTTCATGTATTTTTTTAATTTATTGATTTCCTGGTTGACCCATTCATTGTTTAGTAGAATGCTGTTTAACCTCCATGTATTTGTGATCATTCCAAATCTTTTCTTGTGGTTGACTTCAAGTTTCACAGTGTTGTGGTCAGAAAATAGGTATGGTATGATCTCAACCTTTTTGTACTTATTGAGGACTGATTTGTAACCTAGTATGTGACCTATTCTGGAGAAGTCCCATGTTCACTTGAAAAGACTATGTATTCTGTTGCTTTAGGATGAAATGTTCTGAATATATCTGTTGAGTCCATCTGGTCAAGTGTGTCATTCAAAGCCATTGTTTCCTTGTTGATTTTCTGATTAGATGGATCTATCCACTGCTTCAAGTAGGGTGTTAAAAGTCCCCTACTATTACTGAATTATTATCAATGAGTTCCTTTATGTCTGTTATTGTTTTATATATTTGGATGCTCCCATCCTGGGGGCATAAATATTTACAATTGTTAGATCTTCTTGTTGTACTACTGTCCCCGTTATTATGATATAGTGCCCTTCTTCATCTCTTGTTACAGTCTTTGGTTTAAAGTCTAGTTTGGCTTTTGAAGTTCCAGTTTATCAAGGTTTCACTATATGTCACCAAGAAACATCTTTTAAAAACTAATTTGTAGGGCGCCTGGGTGGCTCAGTTGGTTAAGCCACTGCCTTCAGCTCAGGTCATGATCCTGGAGTCCCAGGATCGAGTCCCACATCGGGCTCCCTGCTCAGCAGGGAGTCTGCTTCTCCCTCTGACCCTCTTCCCTCTTGTGCTCTCTATCTCTCATTCTCTCTCTCTCAAATAAATAAATAAAATCTTTAAAAAAAAAAAAAAAAACTAATTTGTAACAAAACGTTAACTGAAGTTATAGCAATTATATTAGAACAGTAGCCAAAAATGCTGGGTAATGTCAAGAAAAACCTGTACATTCTCTAAGCTGTACCTCAATACATGGTCTCCTTAAAGAAGAGAATCCCATTTACAGAATCCTCAAAGCAGGTTTTAGGTAACAGGTAAATTTGTGGGAAGGAATAAGGAGAAATAATTACTTCTCAGAGAAGCACAATTCCTACTCACCATCATAAACACAAAGGAGATGGTCATGAGAAGTGTTGCTACGGATACCACACTCTGGCCTGCTGCTATGGCCAGTGCCATAGAACTGGCCGAATAAGCCACCATCATAAGGGTAAACATCATGATGAAGAAGGCCTCCACAACTGGTTTCAAGCCTTAGTTGGGAAGAAAAGAGGGGGTTGAATCCAACTGCCTCGGTAACTGTATTTGGAATTGCTTACTGTGCAAAGCACTTAATATTTTGAGAAACTAATACCAGAATGAAGAAAATTCATCCTCTATCCAACCACCTTGGGTCACCAATTTCATTACCAGTTCCCCCATGTTACTGTACAAAGTTATCATACAGTTTCTTTTTTATACTTGTGGCATAAGCACATTTCTGTATAACATCTCTGCTCCTTTATTTGTAATTATTAACAATTTCTGAGTGCCTGAGATGGAGAGCTCCAGGCAACACAACTGGCCCCCATTCTACCGCCTTTTCTTCTAAGAAGGAAACTCGTCAATAGCATATGTGTTTTACCCAAACATCACCACATGGCTGTTTGCTAGAACTGCATTAAGTAAATAAACTGGGAAGAAGATTACGTGACCTCTCAGTGGTTTCAGTATCTGGGGGAACATCTCCACAGTCCAAGTCCCCCAAGACAAAGCACCATATAATTCTGGGATTGAGGGTGGGGTTAAATAAGTTTCATAAAACTACTTTACAAACTATAACAGACTAATATTATGGGTCACACAATCTGAAGGTTTTGGAACAGCCGTAAGACCACCAGTCAAGAGTCTGAGGATCTAGGTTCTACACCTAATTCTTTATGACACACCTCTTATATATAAAATGGAAGTTTAAACTCAATCAGTTGATGTTCCTCTATAGTGCTTTACTTATATATTTTTTAATTAAAATATATATTTCTGATGTGTGCGTGTGTTTATGTGTATCAGTAAAATATATGGAAATTCTGATACAGTGAGCCTGGGGTAAAGCCTAAACACAACGCAGAAATAAATCTAACTACACCTATCAAGCAAGTATTTGTATTAAAGCAGGAAGCCCTGAAAGTCACTGTCTTTCACTATGTTTACATATAAACACACAGACCCACACATGAATAAAAATATAAATAGGTAGGGGACGCCTGGGTGGCTCAGATGGTTAAGCATCTGCCTTTGGCTCAGGTCATGATCCCGGGTCCCGGGATGGAGTCCCGCATCAGGCTCCCTGCTCGGCGGGGAACCTGCTTCTCCCTCTCCCACTCCCCCTGCTTGTGTTCCTTCTCTCGCTGTATCTCTGTCAAATAAATAAAAAATAAAATCTTTGGGAAAAAAACACAAACAAACATAAATAGTAACTACCCCGGCTCCTCCAGCATAGTCTCAAATAGTTTTGTGAATTCTTTCCATGTTTATAAATGACACACAGCATCTTTCAGTAAAATACAGTTTTATAAATAGTTTTAAGTTAGTTTGGGACAAGTCTTGACAAAAATGTCCTCAGAGAACAGTTATTTCATAGCACGCACAATGGATAGATGTCTCCTCCTCTCACTGGCTTGGTTTAGAGTCTGAGAACCAAAAACAAGTTGGTAAAAAGAAATCGGCTTGCCCTCATATCCAAAACTAAAGACACAAACCTTTGTCATATTGCTTACCTAACAAGAAGTATATTATACAAGTAAATATAATACTTGGTAACATCCTCATGGGTAATAAATCAGATAACAGTTTTCCAAAGAAATAAGATGACACTCTGTAGTATCCACTGATATATTCATGTCTAAAAAGGAAAAAATTGTCCTACATTAGTTTAGGAAGGCAGAGACCAGATTGGGCTGCTTGCTTACCTACAGACTTCGCCGCCACCAGGGGTCTAATGACTACAGCTTCTCACATCCTTGAGGCAAACCCCCGCCACCATCCTGTCAGCATCAGGCACCATCTTGGGTGTGAGCCTCCCCTGTGATGTCACCCCCATACGAGTCTGTGCAATACCCCTCTTCTCGTTATAGAACTCCCTCTGGATGCCATCCATTCTGCCCCCTGAGCACCCACTCCCAGTGAGCAGATCTGCATCTCCTCCCTCTCTTCCAACACTGGCTCTCCTTGGAGAACAGCGCTCCAGTAGCTGAGCTCAGTTATGGTAGAGGCTTTACTTTCTCCCCACTTCTGATTATGAAGTAGGTGGCTCTGCTATCCTCCGAGCTTCCTAATTAATGCACCTTGGATCACTTCTTCCACCCTCATGATAAAAAAGAAAATGGCACTTCTTCCTTCAACAGTCATACCTTTCAACTTTCAACCACACATCCCTGTCAGCCATCAAATCCTGTTTCCTTCCCTCTCCAGTTCTAGATCCCTTCCTCTTCCTGACATCTTCCTCCTGTAATTCCAAACTCCTCCACCAATATCTTTCTTTCCCTCTGGAATGATTCCTTTCCTCAGCATGTAAATATGGGCAAATCTCATCCAACTTTGAAAAACACAAGAAACAAAACAGCCCCTACTTTATTTTAAGGCTGCCCTTTTTGGTTCCTTCCATTCCCCTCCCATTGAGGGCTAAGATGGGTCCACATTCTTTGTCAACTTGACCTCCACACCTTATATTTACTGCTTAACCCGCTACTTTCTCTCTACCAAGCCTCTCTAACTTTTCCTGTAAGGGCCATTATGACTTCTCATTTGCTTAAAACAAAAGATCCCTTTTAGCCCCTTTATCACTTGCTTTTTCTGCAGCATTTGGATTTGCTGGCTCTGCCCAATTCTTGAATTCCTTTTTCCCTTGGTATCAAGCCCCAGATGCTCATGATCATCCTTCCAGCCTCTGGCTGCTTTTTCTCAATTAACATTGGCAATCCCCAGGAACCAAGCTGTGGCCCAATACTGGATATGACCAGTTTGACCAACAGCCCCTGATATCGGATAGCCCCCTTCCTGGAACAGAGACCTACTCACATAAAGAGCTTCTTTTCGACCACAAAGAGCTCCACAGCTGACACACTGCTGAAACACTGGTTGGTCGTCAGGAAGAAGAGCACTCCTGATCTGCAATGAGAGAAAGGGAGGGGGGGGGAAGCACTGCAGTCGATTAAACATTCTTAAATCAATTTTCTAACTACAAAACTCTCTCCTCAAACGATACCTTATAACATGAAATAGAAACTGTTCTGGTTAAAACAGAGGGAAGTATGTGCCCCATCAGCTTTCTCCCCACCATCTCTGTGTATCCACAGTGGTATCCCTGGGGCTCCACAGAGCACAGTTTGGAAGTCAAGGTCCTGGATTGCTATGGATCGAACTGTGTCCTCCCCAAATTCCAATGTTGAAGCCCGAACCTTCAATGTGATGATATTTAGAGACAGTATATTTGAGAGGTAATTAGATTTAGATGAGCTCATGAGGATAGAGCCCTCACAATGGGATTAGTGTCCTTAAAAGGAAAGGGAGAGACATCAGAGTGCACACTCTCTCTCTGCCATGTGAAGACACAGCAAAAAGATAGCCACCTGTGAGCCAGGAAGACAGGCTCTCATGGGAACCTGACCATGGATGCACTTGGTTCTCTAGAAGTATAAGAAATTGTCGTTTAGACTGTTGTTTAAGCCACCCAGCCTATGGTTCTCTGTAATGGCAGTGTGTGCTGATGAATATGAAGGACATAAAAATACTATCATCTTGAATATTTTTTATTTTTTTAAGTTTTTTTTAATTTTTTTATTATTTTTTTTTAAAGATTTTTATTTATTTGCCAGAGAGAGACACAGCGAGAGAGGGAACACAAGCAGGGGGAGTGGGAGAGGGAGAAGCAGGCTTCCTGCGGAGCAGGGAGCCTGATGCGGGGCTCGATCCCAGGAGACCTGGGATCATGACCTGAGCCGAAGGCAGATGCTTCACGACTGAGCCACCCAGGCGTCCCATCATCTTGAATTTTAACTAACAAAAACAACAAGTATCATTCCTAATGTCTGAACAGAGAAATAGTGAACCAAATAAAGTCTGCAAAGCTAAAAAACTCTATTAGCCTCCTTTTTAAAGGAAAGAAGAAACTAAGACATGAAGAGGCAAAAGGACAGTGGAGGAAAACTTCAATTGACACATTATATATATCCACCACACAACTGGGAGTAGAGCCTTGATACTGTCCTTGACAAGCCATCGCCAAAATGGTTTCCAACGTGCTCAAAAAAAAAACAAAATGATGTTTATAAAGGAAAAATTTATTTGTGTACCTGTAAGAAAAGGGAGACTACTATTGCTTTTTTCTCAGTAAAATAATTAAGGCTTTAAAAGGAAAGTCACAGTTAATCTACACTTTGATAGATACATGCATTTTATGAAAGCATGCCAACATTCCTGAAATGAATGTTGAAAGAGTCGGGCTTCCCTTCATAACCAAACCAATTAATTCACATGGAGGATGTGAGTTGACACTGAAAGAGCTGAAGTGACCATCATTTAAATGACACAACAATGGGCGCCTGGGTGGCTCAGTTGGTTAAGTGACTGCCTTCGGCTCAGGTCATGTTCCTGGAGTCCCAGGATCGAGTCCCGCATTGGGCCCCTGCTCAGCAGGGAGTCTGCTTCTCCCTCTGACCCTCCCCACTCTCATGTGCTCTCTCTCTCTCACTCTCTCTCTCAAATAAATATTTAAAAATAAAAAATAAATGACACAAGAATGAGAGAGAACATTTTTAAAAATATAAACCCAAGTATAAAGCCCCTCAAAACAAAAAAAGTCCATAGACACTTAGTAATTGTTTTTAACACCAAAAAATAACTTGAAGAACAGACTGTTTTATAAGTAAATGCTTATACAATAATTAATGAATGGAAAATAGCCAGACTTGGTACACAGGCAGCTATGTAACTTTTTCCACACAAGTCAGCCTACTAGCAAAATAAAAGCTAATTTCAGAAATATGGGACATGCAAAAAAAAAAAAGAACAAGAACAAGAAGGAAGGAAGGAAGGAAGAGAAAGAAAAGAAAGAAAGAAAGAAAGAAAGAAGGAAAGAAAGAAAGAAAGAAAGAAAGAAAGAAAAAAAGAAAGAAAGAAAAAAGAAAGAAAAGAAAAGAAAGAAAGAAAGATGGGACATGCAACAATTCAGCTCAATTTGTTAAGCCTTATATCTAACAATACTGTTATGTTCATCATGATTCTGAACTAGTAGACACTGACATTACTTCCAAATCATATGATTTATAGTAAATACAGTTCTATTGCTAAAGAATTTAAGGTATTCTAATTCTTTTTTTTTTAAGATTTTATTTATTTATTTTTGACACAGAGAGAGAGACAGCGAGAGAGGGAACACAAGCAGGGAGAGTGGGAGAGGGAGAAGCAGACTCCCCGCTGAGCAGAGAGCCCGACGTGGGGCTTGATCCCAGGACCCTGGGATCAAGCTCATGACCTGAGCCGAAGGCAGACGCTCAACAACCGAGCCACCCAGGCGCCCCTCTAATTCTTTTCAAGCTGGTAATCCATGTCTGTAATATCTACTTACTGATCCAAATATTTTTTTAAAATATCTTTTCTCTTAATATATATTAATTTGTTTAGCTATCACCACAACCCTGTAAGGTAACTATTAGGTCATAGAAGCTCCTACTCTACATATAAATAAAAACCCAGCTTGTTAGTTACACAGGTTAGAGAAAAAGCAGAGAGTACCTCTTTGGGATAATTCTTTCCCAAAGAAGAGAACCAAACCACTGGCCTCCTGAGCAATTTCAAATGATGAAAAAGTGGCAACACGTTTATGTCAAAAATACAAATTAAAATAAATCCAATGCCCTATTTCTCCAGAAAACATTTGAAGAAACTGCTAAACCTCTTCTTTACTTCTCTGGATTCTTCTACCAAGAATTGTAATGGTTAGATATCCAATTCCTCTTTAAAATTCCAGTTGCAGACAGGTTTTCCAATACTTTTCCCAAATACTTCCCACTGCGCAAACACAAAAGGTCCATGGGCAATAGATCCTGTGACCTATATTCTGTGCTTGGTAAAAATATGCCACCTATAATGGGTACAAATCATCAATTACTAGCAAGCTTGGAAACAAGTGAGAGACCACCACACCCTTCAGGGAAAGTAAAGAGAAAAACAGTGACATAACTCTGGAAATAAGCTGCCATAATAATCGCAATGCAGAGTAACACTAACTGATTCCATACAGGAGATAATTTATTTTACTTGAGTGAGGAATTGACTTTTATGCTTATTCTTTCTTTCATAAACAATCAGACATCAAAACAGATTCGACTTAAGCTACTGCAACTTTCCTCATATCCTTATGGTAAAATGGGGATAATACCACCCCACCCCTTGAGGCAGAAGTCTGCATCCATGGTTTAAAACACAGAGCAGAGTGCCTGGCACAGAACAGCTTTCTACATGAAGTATAAGGAGAACTCTGCAGCCTTTGACAGTACTGAGCATATACATTCAGAGCATGCTAGAGCCCATTACTAAGTCTCATCATGAAAAAATTTGTGTAAGGGCACATGATGACTAAAACTTGGTAAGGTAAACTAACGTAAGTGCTAACCATATAACAGTTAGAAAAAACCGAGTGTCATCCACCTCCCCATGGCAAACAAATCAAAAAATATAAAGGAAAACTTATTCACAAGCAACAAAAGCAAAAAACAGATAACCTCGACTACATCAAAATTTAAAACTTTTGTGTATCAGAGGACACTCTCAACAGTGAAAAGATGACCCACAGAAGGTCAGAAAATACTTGCAAATTTATACCTGATAAGAGGTTAATATCCAGAATATATAAAGAACACTTACAGTTCAACAATTTAAAAAACCAATTAAAAAATGGGCAAAGGATTTGAATAGACATTTCTCCAAAGAAGATACACAAATGGCCAATAAGCACATGAGAAGGTTCTCAACATCACTAATCATTAGGGGAATGCAAATCAAAAACCACATGAGCGGGGCGCCTGGGTGGCTCAGTCGTTAAGCGTCTGCCTTCAGCTCAGGTCATGATCCCAGGGTCCTGGGATCGAGCCCCGCATCGGGCTCCCTGCTCAGCGGGAAGCCTGCTTCTCCCTCTCCCACTCCCCCTGCTTGTGTCCCCTCTCTCGCTGTGTCTCTCTCTGTCAAATAAATAAATAAAATCTTTAAAAAAAAAAAAAAAAACCACATGAGCTATCACCTGACACCAACTGGGATGGTTATTATTATTTAAAAAAAAAAAAAAAAACAAACAGAAAATAACATTTGGTAATGTTGTAGAGGAATTGAAACCCTTGTGCCCTGCTGGTAGGAATGCAAAATGATACAGCTGCTGTGGAAGATAGAATATTTCATAGAATTACCAAATAATCCAGGAGTTCTACTTCTGGGTAAAAATCCAAAAGAATTTAAAGCAGAGATTCAAACAGATTATTTGTACATCCACATTCATAGCAACATTGCTCAATTAGGAGTAAAGGGCAGGCCACTCCAAGATGGGTCACTTTGACATGAAAATTATTTTGAGTTAAAAGCAATCAGGACCTGGCAGACTCAGGAAAAGCTTTTTATCTCACGGCACCTGGGTGGCTCAGTCAGTTAGGCATCTGCCTTCAGCTGAGGTCATGGTCCTGGGGTCCTGGGATCAAGCCCTGCGTCGGGCTCCCTGCTTGGTGGGGAGTCTGCTTCTCCCTTTCCCTCTGTCTCCTGCTCCCCCTGCTTGTGCTCTTGCTCTCTCTTTTTCTCTCTCTGTCAAATAAATAAAAATTTTTTAAAAAGCTTCTTATCTCCCCCATAACTGCCTAAATTTAAATTGGAAAGGAGAGCCTTTTAAGAAGAGAGCTATTAAGAAAGATGCCTCTTTGCCTAAGAAACTTATCTGCATAAGAGGGCAACCTTTGTTTTCCAAACATCATCTCCCACCTTCCTGCTAAAGTCTTTCTCCCCTTACCCTACCCAGCCTTCTCCTTAGCTCATATAAGCATCATGTTGTCTCACTGCTTTTGGAATTTGCATGTCTGTGTGGATTCCCTCTATACATGCTATTAAACTCGGTTTTCTCCTGTTAATTTGTCTCATGTCAATGTGATTCTCAGTCCTACTAGAAGGACTCTGAATGACAGAGGAAATTCTTCCTCCCCAACATTCACAACAGCCCAAAAGGTAGAAATAACCCGTGTCCAAGGACAGAGAAATGCATAAACAAAATATGGTATATCCATGCAATGGAATATTATTCAGCCTTTAAAAGAAAAGAAATCCTGACATATGCTACAACATGGATGAACCTTGAAGATACTATGCTAAGGAAAATAAGCCAGTCACCAACAGACAAATACTGTATGATTCCACTTATATGAGTACCTTGAGTAGTCAAAATGAGAGACAGTAAGTATAATGGTGGCTTCCACGCACTAAAGAAAGTGAGAATGAGGAATTATTTTTCAATAGGTACAGAGATGCAGTTTGGGAAGATGAAAAGTTCTGGAGTTGGATGGTTGTGATAGTTGCACTATACCGTGAACATATTGGGGATCCTGGGTGGCTCAGTCAGTTAAATATCTGACTCTTGATTTTGGCTCAGGTCATGATCTCAGGGTCATGAGATCAAGCTCCAAGTGAGGCTCTGCACTCAGCGCAGAGTCTGCTTGAAATTCTCTCTCTCCCTCTACCCCTCCCCCTGTTCGCATGCTCTCTCTCTCTCTAAATAAATAAAATCTTTAAAAAAAATAATGTGAATGTATTTAATGTCACTGAACTGTACGCTTAAAACTGGTTAAGAAGGTACAAATTAATTACCTGTACAGTCTGTATAAATTACCACCATACACACACACACACACACACACACACACGCATTCGGCTTGCAGTTCACTGACTTATCCTACTCCTCAGTTTACCCTGTACTTGTCTCAAATTCAAATTCTTAATGGATTTTCATTAGCTAGAAAGTTCTAACAGCACTTTCGCAAAATCAAGATCCAAATTTACTTACCTATTCTGGATTCCTGTAGGATCATTTTTTAGATCATAGAAAATAGCACCAATAACGAATCCCAGGATGACTGTTACAATTATCTTTCCAAAAAGAAAAAGAAAAACAAGTGTTAAAACTTAACACACCATTTATTATTATAAGACATAAGGCTACATAATCAAATTTCTTCACTGAGATAGATACTTCAAGTGGTTCAGACAAAGTCCTTGAGTGAATATAAAACAGTGTATGTTATTAGACTGCTTTCTAGAGTAAAAAATAATTGATTTGTGTGTTGGGGAGGCTGACAGAACACAGTAGACCCCTGGAATGCTAAGGTTCCTCCCAGTGATTCACCAGGCCAGTTCAAGGTCCAATTCAGGCCACCAGGCCTGGGAGGGCCATATACAATAGGGGAACAATGCAAGCGCCTGGCTAGGTCATTTGAGGAATAAAGTCCAAATGGATAAGAGTTCTGACCTGAACTCTCAACCTTTTGTGCTAGTGAACATGCAGGGTTTTTTTTTTTTTTTTAAAGATTTTATTTATTTATTTGAGAGAGCGAGAATGAGAGAGAGAGAGAGCGCACATGAGGGGGGGAGGGTCAGAGGGAGAAGCTGACTCCCTGCTGAGCAGGGAGCCCGATGTGGGACTCGATCCCGCGACTCCAGGATCATGACCTGAGCCGAAGGCAGTCGCTTAACCAACTGAGCCACCCAGGCGCCCCGTGAACATGCAGTTTTATATTTCAAGAGGTTCAAATAAAAACAGGGTATCTTTACTCTTACCATTATAAATAAATAAAAATTTTCCAAACACACATAAAAAAATTCTAACAATTTATTCTGCGTGATGAGGAAGCAGGGGTAAGCTGACCGCCGACCTGACCCAGGGGGCAGGGCATGCCTGCACTAGAAAAGCGCAATGTCACTGCCACCAAAGCATTCAACCAGCTCTTTCTGAAGGTACTCAAATGCTTCCACTACCCATTCTCTTGTCACAGCTTCTCTAGCAACCTCCGTCCAAGGGCCTACAGACAACAGTGTACAACTAAGCTGCCAATTCTTTGCCACTCTTACCTACATCCGCTTCCTCGATCGGTTTGGGGACTCCTAAGAAGACTACATAAACATCACTTTTGTTTTTAAGATTGATAAAATTGTCTCTTAAGGACACTTCTAAGCAAAGGATTAAGGGTTATACTGTAATAGAATTTATTTAAAATTAATTAAAATTCTATTTATTGGGGCTCCTGGGTGGCTCAGTCGTTAAGGGTCTGCCTTCGGCTCAGGTCATGGTCCCAGGGTCCTGGGATCGAGCCCCGCATCGGGCTCCCTGCTCCGCGGGGAGTCTGTTTCTCCCTCTCCCACTCCCCCTGCTTGTGTTCCCTCTCTCGCTGTCTCTCTCTCTCTGTCAAATAAATAAATAAAATCTTTAAAAAAGAAAATTCTACTTATTGTACTTTTATATTGCATTGAATATAAAAATAGAAGGAATGGTTATCTAAAGAAAACAAAATACCCCACCATGTACCTTGGAAACTTCAAAGTTAAAAAAAAAAAAAAAATCTCAGTACTACAACAGTGTAATGGTATTAAGACTTGAAATTTTTTACAAGTCTATTTTGGCATGAAGCAAACCAAACTGGAAAAGAGGATCATGATCTGTGAAAGCTAGTTTGTGAAGACCACAGTCTGGAAAAAAGTATGATCTGAGATGTCTTCAAAATTCGTGTGCTAATAAGACAGTCAGAAATTTGGAAAAAAAATCTATTACCTTGGTATAATTTTCATTACCCTCAGAACATACTGCACTTTATGCCAACAGTTCAAACTTCCAAAATAAACAATGATGACTCCATTACCATGTGCGCATGTGTATATACACAAGTCTACTTTCAGACAATAGAACTTTAGGAATGTTCAGACTTTTTATTTTATTTTATTTTATTTTTTAAAGATTTTATTTGTTTATTTGACAGAGAGAGACACAGCGAGAGCAGGAACACAAGCAGGGGGAGTGGGAGAGGGAAAAGCAGGCCTCCCGCTGAGCAGGGAGCCCGATGCGGGGCTCGATCCCAGGATCCCGGGATCACGACCTGAGCCAAAGGCAGACGCTTAACCATCTAAGCCACCCAGGCGCCACGGAATGTTCAGACTTTTTAAATTGGACAATCTCCATGCTTGTTTCTTTTGTATTCAAATATTTGATATCCTATAGTAACAGACTAGACTGTCAGTCTTATCATTAGGATGTTTACTAAAGGTTTAAAAGTTCTACAAGAATGTTCAAGTCAGCTTTCAAACACATTGACAAAATGATTAATCTCGTAATTTTGTCATGCTTTCACAAGGGGCATCTAGGTTATTCTTTCTTGCATTACAGAAAAGAAAAAAAACAAGCAAGCTAAACATTGCCCAACAGAGTGCACAAAGACACTATCTGTGAGTTCTGTGCACCTGGTCTCTTAACAGAAGGGGAAAAAAATTCCCTAAATATGTTATTCTTTCTTGTTCAAATGTGTTTAGCAATATTATCTCAAGGTGAGTTCTGAGGGATAATTATGGCCATCACCCAAAAAACTAATCCTTAGTCAAATGTTAAATACACCAATGGAAAAATTAATCTCGGGGCGCCTGGGTGGCTTAGTTGTTGAGCGTCTGCCTTTGGCTCAGGTCATGATCCCAGGGTCCTGGGATGGAGCCCCGCATCAGGCTCCCTGCTCTGCGGGAAGCCTGCTTCTCCCTCTCCCACTCCCCCTGCTTGTGTTCCCTCTCTCGCTGTGTCTCTCTCTGTCAAATAAATAAATAAAATCTTAAAAAAAAAAAAGAAAAATTAATCTCTAAGAGTTATAATAGTGTGTTCCAAATAGATTTGATCAGAAAAACCCATGGCACATTAAATGAACATTAAATCCTTTTATACAGTTGATCCATTTACTCCAGGATCATCCGAATACAACCTTTGGTTAAATGGCATTATCAGAAGCAAAGTCTGAATCACATAAATGACTAGTTGAAATCTAAGTATGGCTGTAATATTACCAATATGAGCTTTATCAGCAGGAAGCCGTAAAGCAGTTTAATAGCCTCACATTCAAACACTTAAAGAAGTAAACAACATACATACAAGATTGAAAACACTAAACCAAAGGTCAGCCAGCTAGGGTCCTCCACAGGCCAAACATCGCCTGTCACCTATTTCTGTTTAGCCCTCCAGCTAAGAACAGGTTTTACTACCTTTTTAATGGTTGGGGGAAAAAAGGGTGAGAGAAGAAGACTATTTCTTGCCACATGAAATTTAAATGAAATTCTAATTTGTGTCCATTGGTAAAGTTTTATTGGAACATAGCTATGTTCATTTGTTTATGTATTAACTATGGCTCCTTTCTTGCTAAAATGGCAGAGTTGTCTCAGAGTACCTGAGACAAAGACCACCCGGCCAGCAAAGCCAAAAGTATACACTATCTAGCCCTTTACAAAAAAGGTTTGCCTGCTCCTGCCCTAAGTTAACATTCCAGTATGTACAAATATGAATAGGTAATGCTCAGAGAGATGCCGTATTCTATCTTTGTTCTACAACATTGCCATGAATCTGAGCATTATTAGGACTCCTTTTGTGGAACTGAGTTCACTGAGGAGGCAAGCAGGGTGAACATGCAACCTGGAGGCACTAGGCCTGGGTCTGCACCTGAAGAAAGCCTAGCAACAAAAGGTGCAGAATCATGCTGTGTTAGAAATAGCTCCGCATTCTAGAAGGGGGAACCCTCTTGCTCTGTTGGTGGGAATGCAAACTGGTGCAGCCACTCTGAAAGACAGTATGGCGGTTCCTCAAAAAGTTAAAAATAGAACTACCTTATGATCCAGCAACTGCACCATTATTATTATTATTTACCCAAAGAATACAAAAACACTAATTCAAAGGGATGCATGCAACCCTATGTTTATAGCAGCATTATCTACTATAGCCAAATTATGGAAAGAGCCCAAGTGTCCATCAACTGAAGAATGGATAAAGAAGATGTGGTATATACAATGGAATATTACTCATCCTAAAAAAGAATGAAATCTTGCCATTTGCACAACATAGATGGAGCTAGAGAGTATTATGCTAAGCGAAATAAAATAGTCAGAGAAAGACAAATACCATATGATTTCACTCCTATGTGGAATTTAAGAAACAAAATCATAGGGGAAAAAAGAGAGAGGCAAACCAAGAAACAGACTCTTAACTATAGGGAACAAAGTGATGGTTACCAGAGGGGAGGTGGGAGGGGAATGGGTGAAATAGGTGATGGGGATGAAGGAGGGCACTTGCGATGAGTACAGGGTGTTGGATGGAAGTGTTGAATCACTATATTGCACATCTGAAACTAATAATACACTGTATATTAACTAACTAGAATTTATTTTTTTTAAAGATTTATTTATTTATTTGAGAGAGAGAGAGTGAGAGAGCAAGCATGAGAGGGAAGAAGGTCAGAGGGAGAAGCAGGCCCCCCGCTAAGCTGGGAGCCCGATGTGGGACTCGATCCTGGGACCCTGGGATCATGACCTGAGCCGAAGGCAGTCACTTAACCAACTGAGCCACCCAGGTGCCCTTAACTAACTAGAATTTAAATAAAAACTTAAAAAAAAAAAAAAAAAGAAAGAACTCCACATTCTAATCACATCCTGCCCAGAACTACTATATATGTGACTTGGACAAGACACTTCTAAGCCACTTTCAGAAAAAGGAGAATTTTACATTATTTTCAAAGTAAAAATATATAATGTATAAATCACGCTAAAGAATCAACTCCATTACATTATCTCACTGTTGAAACAATGGGTAAACAAGGTTGACTTATTTATCAGACTTGTTTCCAAATGATATCAAATCTACTCTAAAAGAATAAAAATTTAACTTTGATTGATAGCACACAGAAGTGTTCATATTCTGACAGAAATACAAAATAATAGCAGCAAAAATGTTTGGAGCAATTAGCAGTATGTCTCACAGAGGGACAGAGATTCTTGGTACTAATACTTAAAAGGCAACAGTACTGAAGTATGAAAATTCTGGTGCATGTGGTAAGAAGTCAGTCATATCTTTTATTTTTAAGATTTATTTATTTGGGAGAGAGAGAGATCTCACGCATGCATGGGGCGGGATGGGGGGCCAGAGGGAGGGAGAGTCTTAAGCAGACTCTACACTGAACATGTGAGCCCAACTCGGGGCTCAATCTCCCAACTGTGAGATCACAGCCCAAGCTGAAACCAAGAGTCAGCCGCTCAACTGACTATGCCACCCAGGTGCCCCAAGAAGTCAGTAATATCTTATTAGTGCCAACAACATGCCATCTTTTGGTAAGCAACAGAGATTCAATGACTGATAATAAATAAAATCAACCACCCCCAAAATAACTGGCTAAACTGATTTCCTTAGAAAGGATGGACCAATGAACTGGGAATACTAGGGTTTTGTAGGACAGAGCACCTGAGAATACAGAACAACAAAGGGGTATTAATCAACAACTACCAACAGAGCTAGCCAAATGAGGCAAAGAACACGATTTCCTCTTCATCAAAAGAAAAGTTAATCTGACAGTGAATAGCCTTATTTAACAGGATTCAAGCCTGCTTACTACGTTGTGTTAACTGCCAACTGTTTTAGGTACCTAGTGCTTTCCTAAGATGAGAACCCTAAAATGAAGAAGGTCAATGATGGGGAAGAGCGCCTGCACACAGGCTCTTCCCTGAGACAGCAGCTGACCCCTGTGACCTTCAGGTGCATTCAGTGAATCTAGATGGAGGCTTCCCTGACCGCCTGACTTCCAATGCAATCAACCCCTTTCTGCTCTCTCCCTCTCTCCCATTCTCCTTTCCTTCTCTCTTCTCTTCCTTTCTCCCCCACTGTGCTTAAACTTTCTCCATAGCTCCTTTTACCATATGACTTGCTATCTAGTTCATTACTGTATGAATTTGTCATCTGTCACACCTCATAGGAAAACAAGCTCTATGAGAACAGGGGTTTTATTTTCGCCCATTTTGTTCACCATTGTATACAAGCTCCCAAAATGCCACACACGGTCAATGAGAACTTGCTGAATGAGTCAGGAAACGGATGCATGCAGCCACCAGAAAATCCTAAATGTGGCTAAACATTTCCTTTATTTCACAATTTTTGAAGAAAAGATTTTTCAACAAAGATTGCCCATTCCAGCTAGTCTAAATCAACAAAAAGTCTTAATTAAGTAGTCAAAAAAAAAAAAAAACCACACACACCAAAAAAAGTTTTCCATAGTAAAAATTTCATGGTGTTTCACTTGTTCTGTTGGCTGTTTTTATATTCCAAATGGAGTGGGGATAAATAAATGGAAGCTTGGGCAGAAGATAAGCATAATCCCAAAATAGATTATACCAGAACCTAATGTTCCCACATGAGTATGTCCAGAATAATCAGAAGAATCTGTCAGGTTACCTGAGCTATAGAGGCCTGGGGATTGCCCAGTAAGTTTTTGAATGAACGCTTAGAAATCCATCTGAGTTGATGACAGAAGGAGGTGGCATAGGTGATCTCCTTAAAGGTTGAGCTCTTCCTTTTATGACCCTTTATGAGTCGATCTAACTCATCTTTCGTTTTTCTGCAAAAGTCAGAGTTGCCATAAAACTCAGCTATTTTTTCTATGAGTGGAGATCCTCTCTTGGAAGGCTCTTCAGTCTCCTTGACTTTGGAACAAAAGTAGATAAAGAAGGGAAACATTATTAATAAAATAACAACTGATTTAGCCCATTTTTCTGTAACCCCTTTCTTAGATTCTTCCCTGACATCTTAATTCTAACACTTGAGTATAAAAAATTATTAGATCTGTCATTGCTTTACAACATTAGAAAAATATAGTTAATTGGCTGATGGCTTCCGTAAATTTATGAATACAGCAAACCTACTGACCTTTTCCTAACTATAACATTTGAACCCTAATTTTTTTAAAATAAACTTCTTACCATAGGGAGTTACAATTCCTAATATACAAACCTGGTCCTTTTTTTCTTCTATATGCAAATATATAAATTGCCAAGTTTCTTATTTCACAACATTATATAAACAATGGGCATTTTTTTAAATGAAACTTCCCCTTAGAAGTGACACTATCACATAAATACTCATTTATACATTAAATAAAAAATATAGCAACCATGGAAAACAAAATCTATGTTGACCAATACTATAGAGTGAATGTTTGTGTTCCCTCAAGATTTATATGCTGAAACCCAATCCCCAAGGTAATGATATTTGAAGGGTGATTAAGTCATGAGAGTGCAGCCCTCATGAATGAGATTAGAACCCTTACAAAAGAGGCCCCTCTTCACTTCCATCATGTGAGGAGGCAGAGAAGACGGTCACCCATCTTTGAACCAGGAAGCGGGTTCTCAACAGACACCAAGTCTGTAGGTGCCTTCACCCTACACCTTGGACTTCCAGCTCCAGAACTGTGAGAAATAAATGATTATTGTTTAAGCCACCTAGTCTAAGGTATCTTTGTTACGGCAGCCCAAACAGACTAAGACAACTGTTATCAGAGTTCAGCATTAATATAAATTCACAAAGCCATGTTTTACTGAGCTGCCACATGGCTAACCTTCAGCCAATTCGGTTCGGCAATAATCTGTGACTCTCAATAGATTCACATACCTTCACCATCTTGGTCCTCTCTGTTTAATATCACAGCAGAGGAGTCTCCATTAATGACATCCAGGAAGAAGTCTGCGGGGTTATTATAAGGCTCACAGTGGTAACCTACAAAAAGAAGGCAACTCAGGTCTATAAACTTGATGGTCTTGGAAAGTAAAAACTCACTTTCAGGGGTGAGAGAGGTGAGGCAGGGGAAGAGAATCAACTTCTCCCTCATCATTTTTCCTCTTCTTTCACTGATTTATCCTTCCTTTTTATGTATTCAATCACACGACATTTCAACAACGCTCTGTCTTCCAGAAAAACAACATACTCAAAACCAACCTTGAACTCCCAAAATATCTTAAGTTAATATCTGGTCCTTACCAATTATAATTCAGGAGACCTGAAACAGCTATCAGTATGCTCTGATGCTTATCAGAACCGCTTCAAAAATCTAAATATAGGTCCAAGGGGAAAAAAATTGAGTTTAAAAAAAAAAAAAAAAGCTGTAGCTAGGACTAATGCTCCTCAAAGCAAGGCAAGAAGCAAAGAATGCTAAGGCACAGCAAGACGGCACTTGGGAAAGGCCAGGGGGTATATCCTGTTCTCCCAGTTCACCAGGGGACTGCCAAATGATCATTTGTTGTGCTGTCATAATTCCGATATAGAGAACAAATCCCCAGAGCAGCACTCCCAAGAGAATATGACGGGCACCACACAAGTAAATGCTTATCTCAACTTCTGTAGCATGATCCTCTGAACTCAACTTGGCCTGTAGTCTATTAGGCTCATCTCCTCTAAACTCCCTAGATCTGTGTGTGCCTGTTCACTTTAAATGAGAGAGATTAAACAAAAATTTTAAAAAGATGGCTAGTGAACATCTAAAACTATATTTGGAGTCATGGAGCGCCGTCTATAATCCTATCCAAATATCTCTAAAATGAAACAGACTGCATGAGTCATAAAACAAAAATTATTTATTTCCATTCTAAATAGAACCAGGCAGCTCAAAACTGTCAGAAGTGTGAGCCCTTCAAAGTAAGACTTACAATGAGTCATTCTATTGACTGGTAAGTCACTCATACCCTCTCAAGGCCTAAATCTGTAATTTAATGTTACTAGAAAATTTTAAGTAGCATCTTCATGAACCCCCACCAAAGCAGACCAACATCCCATACAAGGGAATAAAAAATGAGAAAGCCTGATCCATAATCTGGACAAAAAGACAAACTATTTGGGGATATTATTAGGCCTTTTCAAAAATGTTCGCCTGACAGATAACTGGTTATGAGGCCAACATATTTACTGAACTGTAAGGGAAAGGTTGCCAGAACTGGGAAGAGAATCAGATACAGGTGCAGTAGAAATATTCATACATAGGCAGGCGTAGTCAAATAGGACAGGAAAGAGATCTAAAGAACAAGCTAGCACTGTAAAGTGAAGAAAACCTCTAGCACCAAACTAACCAAAGATGTTCTGGAGTGGCAGAAGCCATAGGATGTCTACTCAAAGACCAAACAGCACTCCTAGAGCCCTCCTTTGCTCTCTTGCAGGATTCTATTAATAAAGGATCTTACTGTGTGAAAAAGTCAAGCATACCTACTGATGCAAAGTACCCCAAGGCCTCCTGGGCAGGCCCATGGAACATTAGTCTTCCTGAGGCCAACAAGGTGAGGCTATCAAACAACTTGAAGATAGAATAACGAGGCTGATGAATGGAGAAGATGATTGTTCGTCCCTGTTCAGACATCCTAAGTTAAAAGCGAAAAAATAAAAGTCATTAAACATCTGAAACGTGAACATCATGGCAACTTTATTCCTGCCTTCAGATCATCTGTTCTTAGTTTGACTTGATTTTCTCTTACTAACTTCTCATTTCATATTATCTGATAGGAGACCTAAATTCAGCGCTTTTATGAAACACTAGGGTTTCTAAAGTGTGGTCCATGGGCAGTCACCATCATGCAGGATATTAATGAAAAATGCAGATCCCTGGACAGTCTTCTCAGACCTACTGGGCAAGTGAATCCATATTTCTAACAAGCACCCATGTAATCTGTAAGTACACTCAAGCTTGGAAACATATCATGGACTAAATATTAAAATGATGGTTGGATGCCCCATTCTCACTGATCATTGAAATCCCCTGGCTCTTTAGGAATTGGTTTTCATTCTTTTGCCCTAATGGTACAATTAACATTACTGAGTACTTACTATGCCTTTGCTATATACTTTCATACTTTTCTCAATTCTCACAATATTGTTACAAGGCAGTACCAATATTATTACCTTTATGTTACAGATAAGACTTAGACGGCTGAGCAACCGGCCCTAAGTGTCACAGTTAGTAAGGGGCGGGATTTGATCCCTAGTCTGATTCCAAGGTCAAAACATTGCTAAACTACCTTTACACAAGAAGTACTACTCATGGATAGAAGAAACAAAGGCCAAAATCACTGCTGAAAACCTGTCATTATTGAAAATATTTTGTGAGAGGTATCATGTCAATTTAAGCATTTTCTTAGCACTTACTACATGTTACTACATGTTAGCAGTGGGTTCAAGCTTGCTCTGCCTCAAAGGGGATCAGGCCAGCAGATCCAACCATTTCAGTACAGCGTGGAATAAAAGAAGCTGAGGGTTCCTTATAAGCAAAATGGAAGACCATAACCCGGTCTGAAGATAACGTAAGTAGTGCATCAAAGGGGCCAACCAGAGTAAGCCAAGAAGAGAAAATGTAGTCACGGGGAAGGAAGATGGCAACAAAGTGTGCAATAACAGGTCTACCTAAGGTGACTACAAGTACTTCCGTGTCACTGCAGAGCCTGGATGTGTGTGCAGGGACCGGGGCGGGGTGGGGGAGGGGAGGGGAAGAAGCTAGGAAAAGAGACCGCCCCAAAAATCAAGCCCATGACGAGTCGGTTCACTCAGAAGCTGCAGCTTTCATCAGAGGGCAAGAAAGAGCCAGTGAAGGACTGGAAGTAGGGAAGTGCTTCGTTGCAACAGCCTTGTGGTCTGAGGACCAACGGCAACAGGATCAGTATCTCCCAGGAGACATGTAGACTCGGACTCCATCTCAGAGCCGTGGAAACAGAATCTGATGTTAACAAGACCCCAGTGATTAGTGTGCACAGTGGAGTGTGAGAAATTCTAGGTTAGAGCCCTCCGGTGCAGGGAAAGATGCTTGTGTGCCAACTAGTGCAAAACAGGATAAAACACAACATAGTCCAGTATTCCACATCAATCCACCATTCTCTAATGAACACTGTTAACACACTTACAGATCAACAAAGTATCATGCATTCCCTAACAAAACCTGAATCCTAGACCCATCATTTGGCATCTTCATTTAAATGTGCAACTGCCATCTCAAACTTAAGACGTCTAAAATCTTCCCATTTCTTCTTATCCTAGCACAGAGACTTGCTTATGAGGCAAGAGCATCTGAAGAAGCAAGGTAATGACAAGGAGGGGATGTCATATGAAGATGATGTGTGTGGTAGCTTTTAAAAAAAATTGGGGTGGTGGGGCGCCTGGGTGGCTCAGTGGGTTAAGCGTCTGTCTTTGGCTCAGGTTGTGATCCCGGGGTCCTGGGATCGAGCCCCGCATCGGGCTCCCTGCTCGGCAGGAAGCCTGCTTCTCCCTCTCCCACTCCCCCTGCTTGTGTTCCCTCTCTCGCTGTGCCTCTCTCTGTCAAATAAAATCTTAAAAAAGAAAAAAATTTGGGGTGGTAGGGAGCAGTCCCAGAAGTGGTGGGCAAAGAGAATGGCCAGAGTGACTAGGAGATTAGTTATATTTAACAATTAAGTTACTTGGCTTAGCAAGTAAGTAAATGTATTGAAATAATGACAGCTAAGTTTTTGCCTGTCTAAAAAATCATTTACAAACATGGAAAGGGCAAAGACTAAAAAGAACATTCAGGCATTAGACTGCACTGGAAATATTATGCACTCGTGGGTTTTTTAATATACACATGCTAACAGAGCGATAGTTACAGATGTATGTTTGCATGTATTGTTCTATTCAAACTATATATATACATATATATAATAAATTAATATTCCATATATCTTCCATATAAAAATACAGAAATAGGGGCACCTGCCTGGCTCGGTCTGTGGAGCATGCGACTCTTGATCTCAGGGTTGTGAGTTCAAGCCCCACGGTGGGTGTAGAGATTACTTAAAATCTTTAATAAAAAAATATAGAAATATATTTCTGTGTTACATATGCACACACAGGTACACAGGTATTTCCTCGTATGTCTGCTAAGTTGGTCTAGAAGCGACGAAACTGCAGTAGCAGCGAGCACACTAATCAGATCTTGGTTTCTAAATTCTGACTACACCAGAAGGTACCGGGACTCCCTAGAGAAATATCTGACGTGGGAAAAGGACAAGATGAGCCTGGAACATCTTGTTGACCATAAGTAAAGAACTGCTTAAAGTATGATTAGGGGACATGTCAAAAGGACACAAAAGTCAGACTGAAGGGGCTTCTGATGGCCAAATCAGGGTTAATTTAATCATAAAAATAAGTAAGAATAACATTATATAATCCATTGATCCATTGACTAAAATAAGAATATGAGAAAACATAAATGAATAGAGGAGGAGGAAAAGTTCTTTACAGTAGAATGCCAACTAATATATGTAGAAAGAATGATGTAAATAGAAAAGCACTTCGCAACCACTGCACCAGTAATTGATGGAGGCAGAAACTGCTAGTATATGCTAAAACTGGTGGGTGGAAATTTGATGAGGAACGGGGTATGGACATTATATCCAATTATCTCAAATACTAACCAATTACAAAGGGAATAAGAGTTACTTCACAGCAGGTAAACCCAGCAGACACCAACATGACCAGGTGATGGTCATGAACATCACCCATGGTGGGAGAAGTCAAAATCAGGCAGCTCCTGATTTATGCAGAAGAACACAGCATTACTTCTGTGGTACCCCCGCCAAGATTTCATGGCCTGAGTCTGGTCATAAGGAAACACTGGATGCATCCAAGTTGAGGGCCACTCTACGAAATGTACTCTTGAAGACAGACAAGGATGTGAGACCCAGGAAAGACTGAAAAACTGTTCAGGATTAGAAAAGATTTAATAGTGTTTCTGGAAAAGATTTAAACAAGTGTTTCTGGAAAACATCCTGAGTCAGAAAGGAGAAAGAGACACTTCTGGGACAACTGGTGAAGTCCAACTGGAGTGTCTGGGTTGGATAGCGGTGATGGCAGCAGTGTAGATCTCCCGCCTGGGCGGTGTAGAAGGTGGTAATGTAGGAGGAGCGTCCTTGTTTCTTGTAGTTACACTCCAGAGTATTTAGGGGTGAAGGTACATGATGTCAGGAAAAGACGATGTGGGGTGGAGGGTTGGAGGAACAGCAAATGCAGATAAATGGTAACAGTTGGGGAATCTAGGTAAGAGGACATAAGATTTCTTTGTACTAGTCTTGTAACTCTTCTGTAAGGTTAAAATTTTTTAAAATTTTCTTTAGATGTCCAAAATCTACCTTCTGAAATTTCTCCTATAAACATATTCCTCCCACTGGAAGAATAAAAGTAAATGCAACTCTTTTCTCCATTCTTCCATTTCTCAGGCCCTAAATTTTAGAAAGTTGGGTCTCTCAATAACCACACACCGTGTCCAGTTCATGAACTAATCTAATCCTGTTGGTTCTATGTTCAAAATAGACCCAGAATCCACGACTTCTCACCACCTCACCACTACCATCCTACTCAAAGCCAGCATCATATCTCAACTGAACTAATACAAACAGCCTTCTGACTGGTTTCCTTGTACTCACCTTGCCCAGTTATATAGTCTTTTCTCTACACAGCTGACACTCCTCTGTTCTAGAACTCTCTAAAAGTTCCCATGTCACCTAGAGACAATAAAAGCCATCGTTCTTACAGTGGCCTACAAAGCCTGTATAATCTGCCACCCACTCACATTCAATCTCACGTCCTATTCTAGTTGTTATGGACTGAACTGTGTCCCCCCCAAATTCATGTTGAAGTCCTAACCCCTAGTACTTCAGAATATAGCTGTATTTGGGGATAGGGTCTTTAAAGAGGTAATTATGGTTAAATAAGGTCGTATGAGTGGGCCTTAATCTAATAAGGACCAGTGTCCTTATAAGAAGAAGACGAGATGAGGACCCAGATGCACCAAGGGAAAATGAAATAAAGACACAGACTGAAGACAGCTACCTGCAGGCCAAGGAGAGAGACCTCAGAAGAAATAATCCTGCTGACGCTCTTATCTTAGACTTCTAGCCTCCCAAGAATGTGAAAAACTGAACTTCTATTGTTAAAGTCATCCAGTCTGTGGTACTACGTTATGGCAGCCCCAGCAAACTATTCAGTAAGCAATCTCCATTCCCCTTAGTTCACTGGGGTCCAGTCCTGCTGGCCTTTTTGATGTTTCCAAACACATCAGGCATGCTCTGCCTTAGGACCCACTGGCTCTTCCCTCCAGCTAGGACTCTCTTCCCCCAGAGATCCAGGTCTCACTCACTTGCTCCCAGCTCACACGTCACATCATTGAGGTCTTACCCTGACCATCCTGCTATATAATAGAGCACCCCTACCCTCACCACAGCCATCTTTTGCTACACCCTTACCCTGCCTCACTTTTCTTGAAACACTTATATTTGTCAGTTGACTATTTCCCTCCAACAAAGAAGGAAGAAATTTTTGTTTGTTGTGCTTACTCTCGAACTCCCTGCACTGAGAATAATCCTGGTATACAGCAGGTGACCAGATACTGGATGAATGAAAGAGTAATGTTCCCATCGCATTTACCTCTTCAGGAGCAAAAGAACAGCGTTTGCCGTGCTTGAGTCTAAGCCAGTTGTGGGCTCATCCAGGAATAAGATGGCTGGATCGGTGATAAGCTCCATGCCAATACTAGTCCTTTTTCTTTCTCCTCCAGACACACCACGTATAAATTGAGTTCCAACCTAAAACACAAATATCATTATTAACAATTACAACCACAGCTGCTGCCATTTGTTGAGGTCCTACAATGTGCCAACCCTTTACAGGGCACTTTATCTCATTATCCTCATTTATTCCAAATATGGGAACACGGGAGAAGAGGTAGTTTTCTCTTTCGTAAGACGAGCAAACTGAGGCTCAAGTCAGGTAAGTGGCTAAGCCTGATATGAATGCCATGCTTAACGGTACTTCATGTTCCCTATCAAGTCAAATATTTAGTTTTAAGATAAGTTAGAACCCTGGTATTGTGAAATCACAAAGCAAAAGAGAGATTAAGGTGGAAGAGGAAAAGGGGAAAGCATCTATAATTTATTAGTCTTCTTAGACCCTCTCTCCCCACTCCTCCAAAAGTCCTCAGTGGGCTTGGCAAATGGGAAAGTTCACTTTCTTATCAACACCACATTAGTAGCTCTTCAATCACCATAAGGCTTCCCAAATTGACCCTGCCTATATCCCAACTCACTACAGAATTCCTGACTCATTCAGACAAATCCAGAAGGCAGAATATTCTACAGGGCAACTGGCCCAGTCTTTTCAGCAAGTCAGCGTCACTGTGTGTGGAGGGCAGGGGAGTGGGGTAAGCAAGAAGGTTTTGGGAGAAGTAGGAGATAGGAAATAATTCCTATATTAAGAGTCTTCAAAGAGGGGCGCCTGGGTGGCTCAGTTGTTTGGGGTCTTGCTTCGGCTCAGGTCATGATCCCGGGGTCCTGGGATCGAGCCCCGCATCGGGCTCCCTGCTCGGCGGGAAGCCTGCTTCTCCCTCTCCCGCTCCCCCTGCTTGTGTTCACTCTCTCGCTGTGTCTCTCTCTGTCAAATAAATAAATAAATAAAATCTTTAAAAAAAAAAAAAGAGTCTTCAAAGAGATAATAATCAAGTGCTTACTCATGCCCTTGACTGGATCTTGTAACAACTGAGCTATAGCAGACATTTTGGAGACAACTGGGAAAATGTGAATGAATATGGCTTAACATAGCTGATAGTAAGATACCGTTGATTTTGTTGGTTAATAACGGTATTGTGGTAATGTAGGCAAATGTCTTTTTTCTTAAGACGCATGATCAGTATTCAGGAGTAAAATATGATATTTACAACTTTCTTCAAAATATTTCAGAAAAAAAAAGCTGAAGCAAGTATGGGATAAGATGTTAACTAGGAAATCTAGGTGAATATTATTAGTAATCAAACCATTATATTAATTACACCACAACCGTGAGTACGATAGTAATTAGACTATTCTCTCTACATTTCTGTTATATTTAAAATTTCATAAAAAGTAAAAATTCTTAAATGTATTTTCAATCAATTAGATAAATAAATTCCAAGAAGTCAACAACTACCTTCAGCTCATGTTCCCTGGAATTACACGCAAGGAAGTTAGGGCAATGACTGCCTGTTGGTAAAAAACTTGTACCTAAAGGCAAAGATTGGAAAGAATCTTACTAAAAAGACAAAATCAAATAAACAGAGCCAAGGCAAAGGAAACCCAAACTCATAAACTCCTAAAATAAAAATAAGTAGTAAATGGTGGCTTCTCAGAGTCATGCTTTCAAATGAAGTACAAGCAAAATACATTCTACATTTTTCTAGAATGTCAGACAGTATGGCATGAAGCAACAGCCAGCAGAATAGCCCCATTCTTCATTATCTCTAAGTAAGGGATATATATATCCAGGGGAATTCAACTACTGCCATCACAGGCTCAGTCAGTAGAGGATGCGCCTCTTGATCTCAGGGTTGTAAGTTCAAGCCCCAGCTTGGGTGTAGAGATTACTGAAAAATAAAATCTAAAAAAAAAGCTGAACTATAGCCACCATAATCTAAAAAAAGCTCATCTTCACCCAAAGCTTCAAATGTCTTCCCAGCAAATCTTTCATCCTTAGTCATCAACTATAAAATTCCCTTGTTCATCTCATCTCTTCCTCCTGACTCTGCCCAACCACAAAAGGAGTTATTTTTGTCTCTCTTGCCCACAGCTGTTATCTCTAAAACCCAAGAGCCCAGCACGTAACACAACTGTCTGTAAATAAGTACTGGCAGAAGAAAAGAAGATAGGAAGGGAGGGAAGGGGAAATAAGAGACCAAAGTGCCAAAAGAAAGGCTACAGAAAAACAACTCAGATGCTACACAAGTTAGAAACAGGGGCACCTGGTGGGCTCAGTTGATTAAACGTCTGCCTTCGGCTCAGGTCATGATCCCAGGGTCCTGGGATGGAGTCCCACGGCGGGCTCCCTGCCAAGGAGCCTGCTTCTCCCTCTCCTCCCTGCTTGTGCTCTCTCTTACTATCTGTCTGTCTCTCTCAAATAAATAAAATCTTGAAAGAAAGAAAGAAAGAAAGAAAGAAAGAAAGAAAGAAAGAAAGAAAGAAAGAAAGAAAGAAAGAAGAAGGAAGGAAGGAAGAAAGAAAGAAAGAAAGAAAGAAAGAAAGAAAGAAAGAAAGAAAGAAAGAAAGAAAAGAAAGAAAGAAAGGAAGGAAGAAAGAAACCCTACTTTGACTAAATATTATTTTGAAAGCCAAATTATAGCAAAGTGAAACACAGAGCCAGAACCCTTGGATTTTTGTCATTTAAAAATTCTAGATATATACCTCAAAAGCAATGGAACAAAGTCTCCTGGAGGAAGAGGAAGGAGAGCTAAAAGGGGAAAGAAAACAGGAAGAAGGAAAGTTAGTGGGAAGATAGTGGCTGAGACATGACAAACAGTGTGGGAGAACATCAAGAGCTACAGTCACATGGAAAGGGCCTCATGTTCTTCTATATACTAGACCAGCCTGCCAAACACTGCATTTCCAGGATTCAGATATTTTTAGATTTTTTTCCTCGTTAATTTCCATCTTCATATTATGTAACAAGTCCTGTTTCTCATCATTACAGAGAGCAGCCACTTTTGACCACACGTATTATAGAAAACTTCTGAAGAAGAGTTAGAGTATCCGCACAGGTGAGATCCTATTTCCTGGCTATGATCCTGTCTGGTTTTTCCACATTACCTTGGAATCTGCCACTTTATCCAGACCTAACTGCTGAATGACCTTGTTAATTTGCTCATTTTTTTCATGACTCGTCATAGTTGTTGGAAGCCGGAGAGCTGCTGAGAACTGTAAATTTTCTCTCACTGTCAGAGTTCCCATCACGACATCATCCTTAAAGCAAAATGGCATTTTTAACAAGACATATTAGGTTTTTTTTAATACCATCACCCTTAAGTACGTGTAACTTAATCCGCAAGAATAACATATCCAACATAAAGTCCTAGCTAATGATGAACTTGCAGTTAGACAAATGACAGCAACTCCAAACACAGCTGAAAAAGCCGGATGGCATAATTTTCATTCCCTATCTGTACACCCAAACCGACACAAGTAATTATGATTACTCCTAGCAGGCATGTCCAGACCGCTTTATACAGGATTTAGCAAAACAGCTTTCTAAGCTAGGGGAAGGGCAAAAAGGGAAAATAGTGTCTTGTGGAAATGATAACTAGAATGGATATCATTGCCCGTATAGCGGTTATATTCCAGATTCTTCCTGCCTCTTCATTTAACACCACTCTGAATCTTAACAGGAGATTATGAGAGGCTGGTGTGAAGAAAATTGGTTCCACGAGTATGTCATTTGGTCAGCTGGAAGTACACTGAACTATCAGCCAAGGCACTCGCTCATATAGAAATAAAAGAAAGCTAAAATACAAATCCACAAATACTTACTTGTACCACATAACCTGAATTACATTTGAAATTGGCAGGTCGAGGTGCTCCATTTATCAAAACATCTCCAGATAATCCATTCGGATCTTTCCTTGCAGCTAAGATATCTAACAACCTATGAGAGGACATATATATTGTTGTTTTTCTCCAACTCTCAGCTACTCTAAATCCAAATTCTGCTTAAGTTAGAATATTAACCGATCAAGAAATTCCATGGATCACCTAAAATTATGTATATTTTTTTTTCAGGTACTTCCTCAAGTTCAATTTTTATTTAAATTCTAGTTAGTTAACTTACATGATAAAATTGGTTTCAGGAGTAGAATTTAGTGATTCATCATAAAATTACGTACATTTTTGAATTCTCACCTTCCCTTTTTTAGTATATACTACAATAAAACTCAAAAACATGGAACAAGTCCCCGCTGGCTGATCCAGCACAGACTTCCCAAACAGCCCTCCAGGCTGTGTGACCTTGGGGTTCTCAAGTCAGACGATGATGTGCTCCTTTGTCTAAGACACAAGTCTTCACTTAGGCCTTTGGCTCCATCTCCCCACTTTGAATTTTTTTCTCTCTCCTTTCCCTCCCCATTAGCTCAAATCATAGCCGACAGCTGTATGCCAATCATGTCCTGTTATCGTGTCCTGTTAGTAAGCTGACCAAGTAAGATCTCCCAGTCCTTGGGACAACCACAAGCTAGCATCATGCATGTTATCCACAGCACCTAGAACCACACTAGACATGCAGCGAATGCTCAACACACACCTGCTCACATTAAAGTCATCTTGAAAAGCACATTAAAACTGCAAAAAAAAAGTTGACTTATGCTATTATACTCACGAAGATTTGCCGCCACCTGTGGGTCCCAGAATGGCATTGAGGCCAGGTCTCATGATGCCACTGTAAACACAGAACATATCAATTTATAGGCCCGCTTCAAAACCGGTTCTATAAATTTAGGGTCTGCTTCTAATACACTCAATGAAAGTGATTAAACTATAAAAAGAAAACAAGCACAAACCAATGCTTAAATGAAAAAGACACTGAAATGTCAATTAACATAATTCCAGCAAACAAAGGATCTTAATCACTAGTCAAGACCTGTAAGAAAAATGGCTTGGGTCCCTCTAAACTGCTTTTACTTCTTCTCTAAACCATTTATATTTTTTTGAAATTTCAAGTTTCCTTAAAGTAACAGATTCTGGTTAAACATCTCTGTTACACTCACCCTCTTAACCCAGTGTGAAGAACATAACAAGTCTTAACTAATGTTTGATGACATTAACTGATTTACTTCAAATCACCTCAGTTGCTACCTAGTCAAGTTCTACACAATTAATAAATCAATGGATTTCTAGAATTACCAGTAGTGTCCTCACCACTTAAAACTAGTCAGATTAAGAAACAATATATGTGAAGTAGAAATTCAATGGGTAAGAATAAAGCACCTCATGGGTAAAAAACGAAACACCAATTCTTAACCCTCACAAAATGTTTACTGAATTAGAAAAGTAAAACATGGGAGCGCCTGGGTGGCTCAGTTGGTTAAGCATCTGCCTTCAGCTCAGGTCTTGATCCCGGGGTCCTGGGATCGAGCCCTGCGTCAGGCTCCCTGCTCAGCGGGAAGCCTGCTTCTCCCTCTCCCACTCCCCCCTGCTTGTGTTCCCTCTCTGGCTGCCTCTCTTTCTGTCAAATAAATACATAAAATATTTAAAAAAAAAAAAAAAAGAAAAGTAAAACATGTACCCTCAGGATATATCATTTTCTTCCCTATAAAGTGTCAGGTAAGTGGACTGGAAAATTCTCAGCATAGAAGTGGTAGATGCCACTTTCTATAAGGAACAACCTTTAAGGATATATAGACATGGAGTACACAAAGCATGTCCCAAACAAACTAAGTAGATGTTTAAGGGTAGTGAATATTCAAGAGAACAAAAAGTTGGAAAAAATTAAGGCAGGGTTTACTGTGCTGAGACTGAAGAAGAAGGCAAGTAGTTTGAATTTTATCCTGAAGGTAACCAGTAGACTGGTAAGGAGAATGGACTGGAGAAAGGAGAATTAAGAGTAGGCCCTCTCCAGGGGCACCCAGGTGGTAGAGTCAGTTAAATGTCCGACTCTTGTTTTTGGCTCAGGGCCTAATCTCAGGGTATTGGGATTGAGCCCGGTGTTGGGCTCCGTGCTCCATGCGGAGTCTGCTTAAGACCCTTTCTCCCTCTGGCTCTGCCCCTCCCTCCCCTCTAAAATAGATAAATAAAATCTCTTAAAAATATATTTAAAAAGAAAGAAAGAAAAAGAAAAGAGTAGGGCCTCTCCAGTTAAACAGGTGTGATAAAATACAGACCTGAAAAAGCCCTTTCAAAACCTTGGTGTCTATGCCCAATCTGTATTGGAACTGATAAATCAAAATTTATTCCACAGAAAAAACAGTATCTGTTCCAAAGCTGAAATCTATTTCATTCCCAGGTAATGATTTTCACATAGGCCAATCTATGGCTATATAACCGTGAGTGATAAACTTCACGAAGCAATTGTACCACAGTGCCTCAACCAAGGAGGACCTCAGCATTTACTGACTGTTGTGCTTAAATTGTCACAACTATAAAATGGCTGGTGGATGCTAGGGTGAAAGGTAGCTTTCACTCTGCTCATGAACTGAGGTGTCTCTCACTGAAACACTGGACAAATACAATGAGTTTGATAAACGAGGAACAAGCTGTAGAACAGAAAGATCTCTTATTCTTTCAGTGATGTCTTCCCCTGCCCCCAAATGTAAAAAGACAAACTGGTTGAGTGAACTTTCAAGATGCATTTATCTGTAGCTCTTGACGCATCTTCTTTATAAACAGATACCCAGTAACTTCTCCTTAAATAACCAGAAATAAGCTTGTTATTCACTAAGATGTCATTGTCAGAAAACTTTTCCAGGTTTTTAAAATACCTTCTCAAATAAGAACCAACCAATCCTAAATGATTAACCCAAAACTGAATGTGAACACTCTAGGACAATCTTTCAGGTCCCCGAGTTGGGCTTACTTTGGCATTAAACCCTAACATTACAGGAAACAACCATAACGTACAATCACAAATGCAAGAAAGAGTTCCAGTTGGGAGCAGTGGCTAATTCTCCTTCCATTCATTCAACACAATTATCCAGTGACTACTACGGATGACAAGACCCTCTTCTAGGACATGGGACAGAGCTGAGAATAAAACAAATCCCTAGGCCACGTGGAGTTTGCACTCTAGTCCAGGGATCAGCAAATAAGAGCTAGTCACCTCTTCTCTGTTTTCATAAAGTGTTACTGGAACAGAGCCACACTCTTTCATTTACATCCACAGCTGCCTTCACGCTACAGTGACATAACTGAGTAGTTGCAGCACAGATATATGGCCCATAAAGCTGAAAATATTTACTAGCAGGCCCTTTACAGAAAGGCTGTTGACCCCTGTTCTGGTTTATGGCCTACAATTCCCTTGTTTCCTCACCCCGCTCTCCACGCTACTATCATCCCTCAAAACTCAGTTCCCACCCTTATTTATTGCTTTACAGCCTTTGCGTGCAGGAAAGTTTCCCTCACTGTACTGTAAAACCCTGTCAACAAGACGGTGTCATCTCGGGCCCCCGAGGGGCTCCGTCGGTTACACATCTGCCTTCGGCTCACGTCTTGATCCCGGGGTCCTGGGATCGAGCCCCGCATCGGGCTCCCTGCTCTGCGGGAAGCCTGCTTCTCCCTCTCCCACTCCCCCTGCTTGTGTTCCCTGCTCTCGCTCTCTGTCAAATAAATAAATAAAATCTTAAAAAACAAAAATAATAATGGTGTCATCTCGTGTTACTACCCACCCCACCATAGCATGCAGCCAGTGGTATACAATGGGTAGATCACTAAATGCTGAACACATCAAGTGAAACCTAGCTGAAGGACTCATGTCACATCGATTACGTTTTAGTGCATAAAGGTTAATCCTCTGGTCTCATTTTATGGAAAAGTCCATGCCACTCCCACTGCTTGGAGCACCATCCCTGCCTACCCTGCTCTACACACACACACACACACTATAACACACTCTTCACTTTCTCTCTCATGCCCCCGGCCCTCCAATTTAAGTTTAGGGGCTTCCACAGGGCCTTCCCATCCCTCCATCACGGTAGAATAACACAGTGATATGCTTTACTTGTCTGAATCCATCATTAGACTAGAAGGTTTCTGAGAACAGAGGATATATCTATGTCACTAGCATCTTGCACAATGTCAAGCACCTAGCAGATGTCTAAAATTTGTTGAATAAGTGAGTCTCTGCATTTTTATAAATAACAATTAACTTACAGTAAAAAAAAAAAAAGACAAGTTTGCAAAAAAAAATGTCAAGAAGTAGGAAAAACTCGATAGCTGTAACAGAACACAGGCTGTGAAGGGACATGGGAGGAAGCGAGGTGACAGCTGAAGGGTGGGCTATTTACTTGTATTAAAGAAAGAGAAAAGTGAGCAAATCAGTAAGTATATCAAGGATAATGAGAGCCAGGGTTTTCACTTTTTGAGATGTTTTACAAACAGAAATGTGGAAAGAACGCTGGGGTACGCTGGGGTATTAGATTACAGTTGGAGGTATTAATGAGAAGTCCTAAGTTTTAATCTATATACACAGGTAGATGTAGCAAGTTTTAGACACACGTATAGGCACATGTGTGTATACATATATACAGGTATGTGCTCCCTGGGTCTACCCACTGAGAAGGCATAGCACATAGGATATCCCAACAGCAACAAATATCCCAAACACCCAGATCGTGGTTTGTAAATACCATCCTCCACAAAAAGGAACAACAGCTGATTCCAGGTCTGAAGCAGGGTAAGTATTCAGGGAGTCTGAAACTTCTTGCTGTGTCAAAAAATACTCAAATGAGAGGACAGGTCAAAAGAATGAGTTAAAAAAAGCAAAGGTCTCCCACTAACTGAATCAGAAACAATGGGAGTATCAAGAATAATGATAATAGGGGCGCCTGAGTGGTTCAGTTGTTAAGCGGCTGCCTTCGGCTGTGGTCATGATCCCAGGGTCCTGGGATCCAGCCCCACATCGCATCGGGTTCCCTGCTCAGCGGGAAGCCTGCTTCTCCCTCCCCCACTCCCCCTGCTTGTGTTCCTGCTCTCGCTATCTCTCTGTCAAATAAATAAATAAAATCTTTAAAAAAAATAAAAATAAATAAAAAATAAAAATAAACTGACCACTCATTTAAAACAAGTGTATTTGAAAACCAAAGTACTTTTACAGCATACTGTCATTTCAACTACCTGACTCTAGCATCTAGAACATAAAGGACATAAAGTGCATAAGTACCTAAAAGTGTCTGGCTCATAAGGTATAGCCGCACATCTTCTCTGTTTCAAAGATCAGAAAACTAAAGCTCCAGAGATGACAATTATATCCCCATGACCAAGAACTAGTAAATCATACATACAGCCAGTCGCTTGCTAGTGAACCCCAGGGCATACCCAGAAAAAAAACTAAATGACACATTAATTGTTCAGTTTCTCAAACTAAAGTTGATGCACATGGAACAACCACTTTAAAAAACAGTTTGGCAGGGGTGCCTGGGTGGCTTAGTCTGTTACACATCTGCCTTCGGCCCAGGTCATGATCCCGGGGTCCTGGGATCGAGCCCCATGTCAGGCTCCCTGCTCAGTGGGGAGTCTGCTTCTCCCTCTCCCTCTGCCTGCCGTTCCCCCTGCTTGTGATCTCTCTCTCTCTCTCTCTCAAATAAGTAAATAAAATCTTTTAAAAAATTTTTAAATAAAATAAATAAAAACAGTTTGGCAGTTCCTTTAAAGCTAACCGTATACCTAATATGTGACCCAGCCATTTCACTCCAAGTTAGCCACACGAAATAAAAGCATGTGTCTATATGTCTGATTAGACTTGCACACAAATGTTTGTAACACCTTTATTTGCAATAAGCAAAAACCTGTAAAGCTCACTGTATGTCAATAAACTATTTTAATACAAATTCATGCACATACTTGACATTTGTCAGGATTTCTTTCTCAACTGTTTTTCGACCGAGAAGAAAGCCACTCTTCACTTTTACTCGATAGCAAATGTTATGAAAACTTAACACGGCTACTTCAGTAAATGTCTTCGGGTTGTTGGAGGTCATCCTGGAGAGGTCACTGGTGTTTCTTCGTGACATTGGGATAAAAACTTGATCATTATTGGAAGACATCTGGAGAGTTTTGGCCTTTCTGTAGAGGGAAAAGCAACAGTAAGTTGATAGTCCAGATAAATGAGATTGTAAACACCAGTAAGAGTACACTTAAAACAAGTCCATTTTGGTACATATTTCCAATTATAAAATACATAAGTCCTGGGAATATAATGTACAGCATGGTGGCTACAGATAACAACACTGCACTGTATATTTGAAAGTTGTTAAAACAGCAGATCTTGAAAGTTCTCATCACAAGAAAAAAGAATGTGAGGGGTGCCTGGGTGGCTAAGTCATTAAGCGGCTGCCTTTGGCTCAGGTCATGATCCCAGGGTCCTGGAATCGAGCCCCGCATCGGGCTCTCTGCTCCGCGGGAAGCCTGCTTCTCCCTCTCCCACTCCCCCTGCTTGTGTTCCCTCTCTTGCTGTGTTTCTCTCTGTCAAATAAATAAATAAAATCTAAAAAAAGAAAAAAAAGAAAAAAGAATGTGACTTTGTGTGTGATAGATGTTAACTAGACTTTTTGTGGTGATCATTTCACAATATATACAATATTAAATCATTATGTTGCACACCTGAAACTAACATAATGGTATATGTCAATTATATCTCAATTAAAAAAAATAAAAATGAAGATCTAAACTTTAAAAGAATGTAAAATACCTCATTAGTCATTTTTATACTGATTAACATGCTTAAATAAAAATATTTTGGGGGCAGACATGGTCCGAGATGGCAGAGGAGTAGGAGATCTGGATTTCGTCTGGCCCAAGGAATTCAGATGGAGAGGGATCAAACCATTCTGAACACCTATGAACTCACAGGAGATCAAAGAAAAGAGTAGCAGCAACTCTCTGAACAGAAAAGCGACCACTTTCTGGAAGGTAGGACGTGCAGAGAAGTGAATCCGAGGCGATATTTGGGAAGATAGACAGCGGGGGAGGGGGCCTCCGTCAGCCACTACCAGCAAGTGATAGAGCAGCAGAGCACAAAATCCAAACTTTTAGAAGTCGGCTCCGCTGAGGGACATCACTCCAGTGGCTAAGTGGGGGGTGGAACCCTCGCTGGGACAATGTGGTCTCAGGACCCTTGGGGTCACGGAAAGACTGGGGGTGCCTGAGTGTAACAGAGCTCCCAGGTATCAGAGCAGGAAAGCCAGCCACAAAGAGTGAGCCAAGGAATGGGCTCTCAGCTCGGGGTCGCCATAAACCCTGATCCACGGCATAGTTGGGCCAGTTCTCTTCAAGCAGGGGCCCTACAAGCGGCAAAGGAAACAGTCAACCAAACCAAAAGACAACCAACAGAATGGGAGAAGATATTTGCAAATGACATATCAGATAAAGGGCTAGTATCCAAATCTATAAAGAACTTATCAAACTCAACACCTAAGGAACAAATAATCCAATCAAGAAATGGGCAGAAGACATGAACAGACATTTCTGCAAAGAAGACATCCAAATAGCCAACAGACACATGAAAAAGTGCTCAACATTGCTCGGCATCAGGGAAATACAAATCTAAACCACAATAAGATACCACCTCACACCAATCAGAATGGCTAAAATTAACAAGTCAGGAAACGACAGATGTTGGCAAGGATGTGGAGAAAGGGGAACCCTCCTACACTGTTGGTGGGAATGCAAGCTGGTGCAGCCACTCTGGAAAACAGCATGGAGGTTCCTCAAAAAGCTGAAAATAGAGCTACCCTATGACCCAGCAATTGCACTACTGGGTATTTACCCCAAATATACAAATGTATTTAATCCAAAGGGGTGCCTGCACCCCAATGTTTATAGCAGCAATGTCCACAATAGCCAAACTATGGAAAGAGCCCAGATGTCCAACAACAGTTGAATGGAAAAAGAAGATGTTCAATCAAATGAACATTTATGTGAGTGCTACACACATATGTTGATTTAAAAATTTTTTGCCTTAGAACAAAAGATACTTTATGCTTATGCATATATAAAATAGGGTTATAATACTGAAGATAGTTTCAAGTAATAGCTGTTGACTTAATTATATCCAGCAGTAAGTGGAATAGACTTTTCTGCCTCCATAAAAACAGATATGTTATCATAAATTGCCACCATAGAAAGATGTCCATTAACAGATGAATGGATAAAGAAGATGTGGTATATATATACAATGGAACATTATGCAGCCACCAAAAAATGAAATCTTGCCATTTGCAATGACATGGATGGAACTAGAGAGTATTACGCTAAGTGAAATAAGTCAGTCAGAGAAAGACAATTATCATATGATCTCATGGATATGTGGAATTTGAGAAACAAGGCAGAGGATCATAGGGGAAGAGAGGAAAAAATGAAACAAGAAGAAACCAGAGAGGGAGACAAACCATAAGAGACTCTCAATCTCAGGAAACAAACTGAGGGTTGCTGGAGGGGAGTGGGGTGGGAGGGATGGGGTGGCTGGGTGATAAGACATTGGGGAGGGTATGTGCTATGGTGAGCACTGTGTATTGTGTAAGACTGATGAATCACAGATCTGTACCCCTGAAACAAATAATACATTATATGTTACTAATAAAAATAAATAAATAAAATTTTTAAAAAATATTTTGGGGGCACCTGGGTGGCTCAGACAGTTAAGCATCTGACTTAATTCTGGCTCAGGTCATGACCTTGTGGTCCTGGGATGGAGCCCAATGGGCTCCGTGCTCAGCGCAGAGTCTGCCTCAGATTCTCTCTCCTTCTCCCTCACCCTCTGCCCCTCCCATGCATGTGCTCACACCCTCTCTCTCAAATAAATAAATAAATAAATAAAATCTTAAAAAAATTTTTTTGAGATACAGTGGGTTCAATAAAATATATTAAGCATTTTTTATTTTTTCAATTTTTTTAAAGATTTTATTTATTTATTTGACAGAAAGAGACACAGCGAGAGAGGGAACACAAGCAGGGGGAGTGGGAGAGGGAGAAGCAGGCTTCCTGCAGAGCAGGGAGCCCGATGTGGGACTCGATCCCAGGACCCTGGGATCATGACCTGAGCCAAAGGCAGACGCTTAATGACTGAGCCATCCAGGCACCCAAGCATTTTTTTAAAAACAAGTCTGTTTTAAACTGGAATGCAATATATAGTTCCATTTCCAATGAATAAGCCATATTGCAGTGATAAGAACAACCATGGGAACTATATTAGGGAGGCAGACACAACTCTGAATATATAAATTCCAATTAGCTGTCAATTAAACATTTAGAAAGTAAATAAAGAATATGAAAATTAATCAAAATTCATGAAGCAGAAGAAAGATGAATGGGAGATAGACTTGCCTGGTTTGAAAACCAGATTATGAGACAACTCAAGATTAGGGGCAGACCACATGATCACCATCACCCTGCTTTTGTTTTTGTTTTATTTTGGAGTTTATGACATAGTTATTACAAAAAAGGGGGTTAATTCTGGCAGTCAGGGACAAGAGAAATTTCTCTGATATAGCTCCAGACTTTATACCCTTGGTTGTTATGCTCCCTCAATTAGCCAAGAAAATAAACTCCAACAAAACTTTTTGGGATGACACAATCCCTTCCATAATGGGTGACTATATTTAAATTCCAGGAAGATTTAGAATTAGGTATAAAAATGATTTAGAAAACCAAACTAATAGTGAATCAGGTAAAGAATTTAAACCAAAAACTGAGTATTAAATTTATAAAAGGAGTTTAAAAATGCTTCATTAGACAAGTTATAAAAGATTTAGATTAAAAAGATTTAGATTAACATACTTAATAGCTTGTGAACTAGGTTTGAAATATGAAATGTCCATAAACTTAGTTTTTTGTTTTTGGTTTTTTTTTTTTTTAATTGAAGTATAGTTGACAATCCTAGCTTTAACTTTTAAAAATCAAAGTTATCCATGAAGAACTTTCTATCTGGCTATGAAGGACTAGCTTTTCCAAACCAAGCATTCTCCTAAGAACAACCATGAAAATTGATAAAATGTAAGGGGCAACTATTTAAAAAGTTCTCTCTGATGAGAGTAACCAAAGCAGAACTTGCAGGGCCAAATTCCTGGAAAGCAGGGAACACAGAGGTAAACCCAGCATTCTGTGCCCTTTCCGCACACATGGGTGGGGCAAAATTCAAAAAAACCAGGCAGAAAGAAGTTGCTAGAGGCTAAAAAACTGAGCAAATATTTAAGCAGCCAAGGATGCCTGGGTGGCTCAGTCGTTGAGCGTCTGCCTTCGGCTCAGGTCATGATCCCAGGATCCTGGGATCCAGCCCCGCATCGGGCTCCCTGCTCAGCGGGAAGCCTGCTTCTCCCTCTCCTACTCCCCCTGCTTGTATTCCCTCTCTCGCTTTGTCTCTCTCTGTCAAATAAATAAATAAAATCTTTAAAAAAAAAGAAATATTTAAGCAGCCAATGATAAAGGAAATTTTCAACTTTTAACGTTTGTGGGCCCTGCTACTGGGCTCTCAGGAAGCTATGCTTTAATATCTCCCACCAAGGTCAAAATGACTCAGCAAAACCTCAAAGATCTTATTCAAGCCTTATTCTAAAAAGAAAACTGAAACCAAAAGGAATGGGGAACCATGCTTCAAAAGCTGAACAGCCCCTAGAAAAACAACCACCACCCACAGAAAACTCTGACAGGCTATATGTAGAATACATATGGAGCGTATACTTGCAAGTGCTTACTAATGGGAATATTTAAGGATAACCTGAGTCTCAGATCCCAAATGCAGTTCTTCGGACTGGATTAGTTTTTTTTCTTTTTATTTTTTTTGTTAAAGATTTTGTTCATTCATTTGAGACACAGAGATACAGAGACAGAGAGCATGAGCTGGTGGAGAGGCAGAGGGAGAGGGAGAAGCAGGCTCCCCGCTGAGCCAGGAGCCCGATGTGGGGCTCGATCCCAGAACCCTGGGATCATGACCCAAACCGAAGGCAGACGCTCAACCATCTGAGCCACTCAGGCACCCCTGGATTAGTTTTCTTGTGTACACAGTTAAAGAAAGCCTGCTGTAAGCCAGAAACTAGGAAGCTGTTTGATTTAACCAGTGAAGCTCCTGG